TTCCAACCGAACCTCTTGAACAGATAGTTTTATATTTATTCGTAGCGAGAAAATTAAGGTAGATAGCAGTCATTTCGGACTATTTACCTGTCTATTCTTGAGCCATGTGGAGGGAGGTGGAGTACCATACAAGATTTGAGGCTCCATCGTTTGCCTTTTCCTTAATAAGTCAAAACGACTTATTAGGGAATAAAAATGAATTTGTGGGTAAAACTTTTATATATGTGTTCTTGATGACTTAAAAGCCAATACTGTAAAAGAAATTACGTTAAAAATATCTTAAAATCAATCTTAAAATTAAGTTTGAAAATTTAAATTTTTGCTTTTTCCTTGGCTTAGGGCAGTCCCAACCCTCCACCTAAGATATTAACTACATTGCCATGTCGGACTTTTAGCTTATGTGACACTATATTAATTAAGAGAGAGAGTGAAGAGAGAAAGAAACTGGGTCTCATGCAAGACACAGTTTCAACACAATAACCTATGCACTAGACACTATAAAGTTTTGCATTGTGAGAGAATAGTGTCTTCATAATAGATAAAGAATAAATATGATTAGTAGAGAAGATAGATGATGTATTTATTAATGGCACACTTTAAGAAACTATGGGTTGTAGAGTGTAGTTTCTATTGTGATGTCTTATTGACATGTCACCATAGACACTGCTTATGGCCACTATGGGTTGGAACTGCCCTTATTAGGCCCGATGGGAGCCTTGGCAATGACAAAAATGGGAGATAGTGCTAGTGCATAACATAAGAGGAGGAAACTGAGGGTGATTTTGTACTTTCCATGCTAACTAAAATGATCACATGAAGGATGGCATATGAGGGAAGGAAAAATTCGTTAAGTGGCATATATGAAAATATCAAATTTTCAGTGGCATATGAGCTAGTACACTGGTGAACTTTCAATGGCATTCATATAAGGAATTTTCTCCCTTCCTTTAAACGTGTGTTTGTTAATTACTACTACCCAATATAAGAAGTTCTGGAGTTGGATATGTGTATTAAGAAAGTATGAAGATTTAAATGAAAGAATGTTACGATTTGTTGAAAAGAGAAAATATGTGAATAAATTAATAGCTTGTTCACTTTATTACCAAAATCAATCTTGTTTTGGTGCTACTAAAATTTAGAAGCATTGGATGTATTTGGATGGGAGCTTTGCTAAATTTTGGTGGAGTTACTGTGAGGAGGAAACTTTCGAAATTACTACCAATTTTCGATAGGGTGGTAATGGTGCAGCTAGCCGGCTATGTTTAGTTGGTTACCCTACTAAAATTTGATAGGCTTAAAATTAGCAATAAAGTGAACTAGCCCTAAAACATAGCAGTTTGTGATTGATGATTGGTTGAGAAGATTATGTAGGTTAAGAAGTTGTTATATTATGATTGAATGTTACATGTTGTTATACTTTGAAACGGATGAAATAATTTATTAGAGTATATGTCTTGGAGTAATAGAAGAGATACTAAATTTTTGGCCCATGACGTTGAACATGAGCCAAATCGACCTAATATGGCAAATGAAGGATAGTCTCATATACATGGACTGGCTTCTGCAATCATGCGTACTAGGATAATTTTTTAGAGGTCCACTTTTTCAAGAGATAGGAGGATGAGGAAGGGAAGAAGAGAGATGATGACATGTGGGTTTCACATGCTGATTTAGTTGGTTGGACTAGATTAGTGAGCCACATCAGAAAAAACCAACCTCAAAGCCACTTTTAAAAACATCAAGAGGGTTATTTTTATTGGTTTTAATAGTTACGGATAAGATATCTGGTATTCTTATTTGTTTTCGAGATGTGACAAAGTGGACTTATTTGTTTTCGAGATGTGAAATCCAGCCCATATGTATATTTCACAGAGATATATGGCCCAAAATCCAGCCCATATAAAGAATAATTTGGCCCATATATTTACGCTTTTAGACAAATTAAGGCCCCAAAACTTTGAAGATTAAATCGGCCGTTTTCTGGATCGACGTGAGAAAATGAAACGAAATCCTCATCTGTAATTAATCAACGATGGCACTAAATGTACATTTTCTTGAATTCAAATATTCAATGCATGCGGATGATTAATTCCAATTTCCACGACGATGATAATTAGGTCTGCAGAAGCTAGCTATATAGTCCACCAGACCAATGTTGAATCATATCCATCCATCGATTAATCGAAAGCAATCGGATCGATGGCAGTAGCTAATGATTGAATTCTAGTTGATTCCAGGGGTTCAGCATCATTCCATTCCAGCTGAATGTATGTTCCACAATTTTTCCTCTCTATCTGCTACATACTCCATATGTGTGGTACAATCTAATCCTTGGAGTTATACCTAGGAGTATTAATTAATCTCCATGCATACATGATTATATTACCATGTCTCTCTCTTAATTTCTGCGCTTGCTTGCTAGCTAGATCTATGATCTATTCTGATGATGGCGAATCAACATCCCATTCCATTGATCGATGGATCTATCGATAGCCACAAGAGGTCGTCCGATAATTAATTTGACAATTAGCCTCGGCTGCCCTGGAGTATACATACATGATTACTGATTGCTACGTTGGCCGATTGCCTGATTGCATGGCATATCCAGACGATGTACACTTGGACCGCGAGGATGCACGCACGATCAACTGAACTGATTAAAATACATTCGCCTGAATCATATTGATCAACTTAGATATATACACGTTCAGCAGTGAGTTTTATTACTTTGGGTGCCTAGTTTTCAGTGACACAAAAACAACCATAAATTTCAGAAAATTCAGATCATATGCGAAGATTTATGCAGAACAATAATATTATATTTTCTTTTTTTTTCCGTTCACCTCTCACTCCATGCTGCGGCCTCGTCGGCGCCGGCGTGCCATGTCAGACCGCCTCCTTTCTCGCTCCTCCCTTCTCTGCTCCCTCCTCCCTAAGCCTTAGCAGCACAAAGGTGCCCTTGTCTCACCCATCTTTGCCACCTAGCGTTGTTGAGATACCCTTACTTCTTAACCACTTTAGGTCTGACATCCCAGCACAAACCTCACCCATTACCCTCATAAGAAACCCTACGACACCAATGTCGTCGTCCTCGTCTCCCCTGCCCCAATTCCTTGGCTTTGATGGTGTCGATATGCACTACCCGACTGACTCATCTCTCCTTTCCCTCTCCCCTTATTTCTCCTACCTTAGCCTAGACGACACCAATATGTCTTTACCTTGCTCGACTTCATTGTCTACCGACCCACGTTGTCGAGATGCCCCAACCTTTTAACAGCTTCAAATCTGACATCTCCACTATCGACCTTACACATTATCCTCCTAAATAACATCGTAACTCTGCTGCCATCGCCCATCTATGTCCACCACCTCCTTGGCCCTCCCTCAAAAGCCATCCTGAATCCCACTACTCCCTCTCCTTTGGCTGACATCCAACGGATATGAAGCGTGTGATTGAGATTTGGGATACATAAAACCTAGTAATTCCTTATTAGTCTCTGTTTCACACATGGAGAATACATGGAATTAATGCCCACTTGATTTTCCATCCAAGAATCACTTACGACTTATCTATATATGATTAATTGAGTTCTTTTCTTCTGAAAATGAACATAAAGATGAAGATTAAGTTTTTAACGTAAAATGAGGTGATATTAACGTATGCTTAATTGAGTTTTAATTATTACAAACTTGAAAAATAGATTAATATGATATTTTAAAGTAACTTTCATATAGAAAGTTTTTGCACGAAACACACCATTTAGCAGTTTGAAAAGCATGCTACAAGTATCCAAAATTTTATTCAACTTTTGTTGGAGAAAAGAACGGGGCTTATACTCTCTCCTTTTGTAATAGACAATGCCATTGATTTTTAACATGCATGATATTTGATCATTATCTTAGTTAAAAAATTAAGTAAATATCCTTTTATATTGTTGTGATTTGGTTTATCATTAAAGTAACTTTATGTATATTACTTATAATGTATATTTACAAGGAATAGTCAAACGTCTGATAAAATTTAACGTTATCATCCATTAAAAAGCTGGGAGGGAGTATAACTAGTATTAGGCCCTATTTCTTTCAGCTTGAGATTATTATAATCCAGATTATTGGGAGTAAGCTGAAAGAAACAGACAACTTATTGAAGTAGCTTATTATAATCTGGAGCCCAGCTTATTATAATCTGATAAGCTTATTTAGATGAGCTTTTTTCAGATTATTGGGTGAAAAATTACCCACCATGCCACCCCACTCCCTCTTTAGACTTGCAAACCCAATAATCTAGGAAAGAAACAACTAACTGCTTATTATATTACAAATTATAACAATCTAGTTTATAGTAATCTGGCTCAATAATCTAGATTATAATAATTTTAAGCTGAAAGAAACAGGGTATTAGTCGTTGCTAGTTAATCATGTAGTACATCCGTCCGTATTTGTGAGAATTATTGAGAAGCTAATCAATCATTGCATCCATTCGATTGGATTGTGTATGTGGATCAATAATTCAGCCCCCATTCGCCGAAATAACATACATACTACTAGTAGCTAGCTAGTAATAATTAGTTTAAATAAACTAGCTAGTAATTAAGTGGTACTACTCCACTAATATAAAATCTAGGGGTTTGCTTCACCTGCATATGATGATGAATGCAGACTAGTCGTCCACTCCTCCGGCCGGCCGTATGTACGCATGAGTAGTAGTAGCTGATTGGGGGTATGTATGTGGCTTTGTTGCCATCCGGACACGTAGCTGCTGTGCAGTCAAGCCTGAGCGGCATCCACGCGTCGGCATGCATGTTTATCTCCACTCAATCATCAACACATATATATGATCGGATGGAACTTACATAATGTACTACTAGTACACATTTGTCAGCACACCACGTATGCATGCCCTGCTTTATCTTCTTCTTCTTCTGGTCAAATACTATACAACAAATCATTAATTAGGCTCAAAAGAAAGAAAGAATTTGAAGAAAAAGCCAGGAAAGAAAAGTCTGAATTATTATTTTGGTTATGCTGGATATATATATACTGTATTAATTTAGCTAGGTGGAGTACAATAATAATATCGAAGATACTCTAGTCTCACTGGAATGGGACGTGTGAGTGTGAGAAGCAGATCGAGCATCAGAGGGGGCAGATCCGGTAGAGTCTGTGTGTAGTGCTTTGCCTTGATTGGATCAGCTAGTCCTTCGTTTGAGTCCTTATATAACATTGATAGTACCAGATCGATCTGGAGTACTTCCTAATTGCATGATAGATGACAGTTAAGGCAGCCCAGCCACCAACACCACCAAACAATATCATGCATGCAATTTAATTAGGATCAGAGCCACAGGGGAGTAATAATAATATATACTTCTAGTCAGTCTATATACTGTACGAGTGTGCCTAGCTAGGAGTACATGCATATTTTGTTCCAGATTATCGATGGTGGACAGGACAGGAGCCAACTGCAACAAGATATACTCATTCTCGATCGATTTCTAAGAGATACCTAGACACTTGCTCCTCCTGCTATAAGGTAATTAACGCTTCGCTAGCTAATTAATTGCATTAGTTTCAATTCTTTTTATGATCTTCTTTCGATCGAGCAAATAACTCAAGTAAGTGCATGCATATATAGATGAATAGTGTAGTAGAGATCATGGCGATCAGTTACCCGCCGGAGGATGGCCGGTACTACTGTTCTTCCGTTGCCGCCGGCGATGATTCACCTGCGGCCCATCATACTAACGCCCACGACGACTGGGACTGGGACTGGGTACCCCCACCCCCTGCTGATGCTGCTGCTGCTGCTGCGGCGGACGACGACGACGACGATGGCGATCCGACTCCTGCTGGTAGTCCTGGCAGCAGGGGCGAAGACGAGGAGGAGGAGCGGCAGAGGGCGCAGATGGTGAGCGCCATGAACGGGCAGCTGAACATGCTGGCCAGCCGGTTCCTGGCATCGGCGGGCGTGGAGGAGGAGTGGCTGGAGGTGGTGACGGCGCTGTCCTGGGAGGCGGCGCTGCTGATCCAGACCCACGCCTGCACCGCCGGCAACGACATGGACCCGGCCTCCCACGTGAAGATCAAGTGCGTGGCGTCCGGAAGGCGGCGGCAAAGCCAGGTGGTGCGGGGGCTGGTGTTCCGCAAGAACGCGGCGCACAAGCACATGCCCACCAAGTGCCACCGCCCCACCCTCCTCCTCCTCCACGGCGCCCTCGGCCTCGACTCCCATCTCGGCTTCTCCTCCTTCGACTCCATGGAGCAGGACAAGCTCATTCTCCGAGCCTCCATCTCCCACATCATCCACACCTGCAGCCCCAACGTCGTCATGGTCGAGAAGACCGTCTCCCGCGACATTCAGGAGCTCCTCCTGCACCACGGCGTCACTCTGCTGCTCGACATGAAGCTCCACCGCTTGCAGAGAATCGCTCGCTGTTCCGGTGCTCCCTTGCTCTCCTTCTCCCAGCTTCTCCATGATTGCCCCAACCACCTCAAGCACTGCGACTACTTCCACATCGACAAGTTCTTCGAGGACCATAACACCACCACCACTACTAGTGCTGCTGCCCTGAACAAGCCATCTAAAACATTGATGTTCTTGGAAGGCTTTTCCAACCCATTGGGATGCACCGTAAGCACTCGATCAAATACTCCATTTCATTCAATTACCTAGATCAATTACTCTGCATTATTCTCAATACGCGCGCGCATGCAGATACTGCTCAGAGGCGCAAGCACCCAAGAACTGAAGAAAATCAAGCAAGTCTTGCACTACACAATATTCGCTGCATACCATCTGGTTGTTGAGACATCCTTCTTTGAAGATCAGAGGGTATTCTTGAATGATACAAATGTTGACGGGACACCACAAATCACTCATCAGACTTCCATTGTCTCAAATCGTTCACTTCCTACTGATTATGATGTCACTTGTACTAGCAGGGGATCATTACTGGAATACCATGATGGGGATCACAAGGCTACAGTTCCTTTCACAAATAAACCAGACTCGTACACACAAGATGAGGGTACAGCCATCCACTGTGAAGCACCTCCATCTGAAAACCTGCTGTCCTCAGTCTCCGGATCACTCAGAAGATTCATTGATATATTCCGTTATCAGAATATTTATTTACCTGTAACTTCTTCTCAAGATACAACTGGTCATCAGAATGAACAAGATACTGAAACCAGCCAAGAAACGGCGTCTGATACCTTAACAAAGGATCATTCTTGTGAGTATATGGATCAGTTAAATGATCTCCAGGAACAAGTATTCGCCAAAACCAACCAAAAAATGTCACAGCCTGATCCTTTCGGTACTGAAAAACATCAGCAGAATGTGGAACAGTACAGGGCCGGCGAAAATATAAATTCAGACACAGATGAGGCTGATGATGTAATGGATTCTCAGAGCATACTCATCTTGTTATCCAGCCAATGTGTTACGAAGCAGGTTGTCTGTGAGGAGAGCCATCTATACCGCATAAACTATTATGGGAATTTCGATGTCTCCTTAGGACGATATTTGCAAGACATTTTGCAGAATCAGGTACCTATCTATTTTTTTAGGAATAATTTCGATAACACATGACATAGTAGGTCAATTGTATATCTACTAGTCAGGATGTGATGTTTTTTACTGAACTGTGGCAGAACCTAAGCTGTTCCTCATGTGGAGAGCCTCCAGATGCTCACATGTACTCTTACACCCACCGCAATGGAAATCTAACTATTAATGTGAGGCGTTTGCTGCCTCAGCATCATTTGCCTGGTGAATCTGAAGGAAAAATTTGGATGTGGACTAGATGTCTAAGATGTGAGCATGAGAGAGGGATATCCAAATCATCTCGGAGAGTGCTAATATCAACTGAAGCGCGTAATCTCTCCTTTGGCAAGTTCCTTGAACTCAGTTTCTCAAGCCACTCTGCTGCTAGAAGGCTATCAGTTTGTGGGCATTTGGTCAACAGGGACTGCTTGCGATATTTTGGGTATGTATTCTCATTTCTCAAGAACTATTTTGAACATGTCGTGTAAAAGTTCTCTCTATATAATACTCCCTCCGTATTTTAATGTATAACACCGTTGACTTTTCGACCAACGTTTGACCATTCGTTTTATTTAAAATTTTCGTGCAAATATGAAAGTATTTATATCATGCTTAAAGAACATTTGATGATGAATCGAGTCATAATAAAATAAATGATAATTGTATAAATTTTTTGAATAAAATGAATGGTCAAACGTTGGATAAAAAATCAACGGCATCATACATTAAAATATGGAGGTAGTACATACTAAACATCCTTTAGCCCTTCTTTATTTCTTTCTTCTTTTGTTGGAAAAAATGGTGACTTCAGGTTGGGTTCCAAAGTTGCAAAGTTCCAATATTCATCAGTTGAAATTTACACTGCCTGCAAACCGCAACGAACCCTTGAGTTTCACAATCCCGATATGCGTGAGTGGTTCGAGCAAGAGGGAAGAAATGTATGTACTATTTTATTTATCGGTTTCATCACATGATTTATCTTGTGAACATTCATAGGTCAGATTGGGCCTAATGCTTGTGTTGCACTTTTTAAGGTTCTTGCGAGAGGAGTTAAGCTTTTCTATGAAGTTTCTAGCTTAATACAGCACATGAAGATTTTCTCTGAGGTGGCAATTAACTGTGGAGACTCTCTTCCTGTCAAAGAAGTTTCCCAACTTGAAGAGATGCTAATTGAAGAAAAAGCTCAGTTTGTGGTAAACCTTCTGGTCTTTTTTCTTCTCTTTACCTTGTGGTAACTGGTAAGCCTAGAGATAAGTGTGCATTCTAATCATCTCCGATAACTGTCAATTCCAATATGAATATCATCAAACAGGATTCTCTGGTGAAGGCTGTTGATGAAAGCGGGATGTCTAGCTCCTCTGTGAATGAGATTCTTGGTGTAAATTGTCTCTACCAGGATCTTCTGATTCGACTGTACGTGTGGGACCGTCGTTTCCATCAAATTGTTGAGTGTAAGTCTGGAAGAATGGCTAATTGTGTCGGCAAGAAGGAAGCTGCTGAATTTGCCGGTGAACCAGCTGCAACTGGTGAAAGTGCAGTGCCCTTTGAGAATGGATATATCAAGGAAATGCAGTACAGCAGCGAAACCTTAACTGATGAAAATTCACGGCGTGAGGAGCAACATATCACAAAAGTGCCTTCTTTCAGAGTCTTGGAAGGTACAGATACGCAGTTGATAAATCCTGAATGTGGGGATAACAGGGAAACATGGATTTGGAGTCCATTGCACGAGTTAAGAGAGAGTTACAGGCATGAACTGCAGGCCGGGTATTTGGAAAGATTCGAACTTGTCAACAACTATTCTCCATCTCATCTATCCCCCCTGCACAAACAATCATCTGCTGAGTTCATAGTTGGTCCAGGTGGCAATGTGTTGTGCATATCAGAGGATGAAATATCCAGCATAATATCCCGCGCACTGGCCATATCGGAGGAACGTCGCCATCTTTTACTAGATGCTCTCATGGTTGAAGGTGAGGCAGCCTACAGCAGGGGGAGTGAGAGCTCTAAGATGGAGAAATCTTACAGCTCATTATCTGAAGCTTCTTCGGCCTCTTCGTCGTGGTCATCTATTGGATCTTCAGACTCAGATGCAAGCTTTTCATCTGACGACCTCTTCTCCAGCTATGATAGCTCACTTCTGTCATCCTTACTTCATCCTGAAGTATCTGTCAATGGGAAATCATCTCTCAAAGGGAAATACTCGGTTATTTGTGTACATGCCAATCAGTTTTACACCCTTCGGAAGAAATGCTGCCCATCTGAGCTTGCATATATCACTTCCTTGAGCCGGTGCATGAAGTGGGATGCTCAAGGTGGAAAAAGTAAGGCTTTCTTTGCAAAAACATTGGATGACAGGTTCATCATCAAGCAAATAAAGAAGACAGAGTTTGAATCCTTCATAGAATTCGCACCCGATTACTTTAAGCATGTGTATCATTCTCTCGACACTGGGAGCCAAACTTGTCTTGCCAAAATTTTAGGAATCTATCAGGTAGGTGTACTTAATTTACATCAGACGTGCTATGGAATAATTTCATGATTTTTTTTCCCTCCTTGGTTGTTATACATCCTTTTAAGGACCGGGCTCACTATTTGTTTCAGGTTAAGCAAATCAGACATGGCAAGGAAGTGAAGCTTGATCTGATGGTGATGGAAAATCTTCTCTTCGGACACAAATTGTCAAGGATATATGATCTCAAAGGTGTTGTTTTCTCCAGACATGTCTCTGATTCGAATGACCATGGAACTGTTTACTTGGATCAAAACTTTGTCGATGATATGCGTGTTTCCCCTATATATGTTGGTGGAAGAACGAAACATCTCTTGCAGCGGGCAATCTGGAACGACACAGCTTTTCTCACTGTAAGTACTGATATTTCATTTCAACCACGTATAACCAATCATGTTCTCTCTTACAATATGAGCTGACAGAAATACTAAATTTTTGCAGTCAATTAATGTTATGGACTACTCGTTACTGGTGGGAGTGGACAAAGAAAAGCATGAGTTTGTATTTGGCATCATAGATTACCTAAGGCAGTATACATGGGACAAGCAACTGGAGACGTGGGTGAAAACTTCTTTGGTAGTGCCAAAGAATGCTTCACCAACAGTAATCTCACCCAAAGAGTACAAGAAGAGGTTTAGGAAGTTCATGGCCAAGTATTTCCTGACAGTTCCAGACGATTGGAGTACATAGATAGAAACGTCTGGGGTCCTGCAAATCCTGTCCATTATCTGTTTTGTTTGTACACAGTAGAATGGAACGCTCACTTGTTTAAAGTTCTCCAATAGTTTGCAGTTTTAAGGCAAAATTTTGGAGCGAGGCCCAAATACATGATCAAAATCATTGATCCCTCACATGTATTGGTTACTGGTTTGTGGTAGAAAAAAAAGTTTGTATCAATGTCTTGTTGGTTAATGTGGTAGAGGGAGATTGTTTAACGCTAGCATAAACATAGCTCACATTACCAGCACAATTACTACGAATTGGTTAGCTTAGTCACATTCCCAACACAATTAAGACAAATTGGTTAGATGAGATATCCAACTGTTCATTCAGTGCGTTACACGTCTAGCAACAGAAAATGACGCTGGACTTGCGTGACATCCTAGTAGTAGAAAAAATTCCGTATGCACTACACAGAAAGGAAGTTTAGCGTGCGGCAGTTTCTGGCCAATTTGAAAACAGTAACTTGAAGGAACACAATAGTTCGAACTACAAGGGAATCCAGACCATAATGACTATTGCATAGTACAAAGTGTATTCTTTTGTTAAACCTTTTCTTGCTTGTCGCCTACAAGGGGGAGCATCTCCATCCGACTTCTCGGCGAATTTGTTTGCGATGTTGTTGGGCTTCCTGTTCCTGGAGCTACAGCCTGCTGTTGAGGGATCAAATGCCTCACATACCCATAAAAAGTACAGCCAACGAGCGTGATCGCGCATCCGATTGCATTCATAGGAGAGATAGGGTTCCGGAAGATCAACCATGACACCAATACAGCAACAGCAACCTGCAGCGCAATGATCAGTTCTAAGAAATGATCGAGCAGAATATATGAAAAGAACAAAGCATAGGCCAAATGGTTGCTACTTTCAGGTTGCCAGCAACATTGAAGGTCACTGCAGTGGTTGAATGGATCACGTAGAAAATGGAGAAGTTTAGGCAAAATGCAAGCACTCCAGAGCCTATGATGATAACTAGTGCAGAAGCAATGGAGTCATGTGTGTAGAACCAGGTAACCACACCGCCTCCTTCAAGTAACACTGCTGGTAGAGCCAGTATCATGGTGGCAAAGGGTGCCATGTAGTACACTGTGTTAATGCTGAAGAAAACACAAGGAAACGTCATAAATAACATGATTTACTTTGCTGGTAACACGGCGACAAAAAAATCCAGTTTACCATACAGTATTATAACTGTAAGATCACAGCAGAAGTAAAGCACCAGTCATTACACCCGCCATAAGATGAGCACCTACCTGTCAAATTTGTATCCGTGGAGTAGAGACTCTGCCAAAATGGTCTTGGTAGATGTAGCAAGGCAGCCAACCATGGCAGCACAGAAACCAAACATGTTGAAACTAAGCTCTGTTATTGAAGTTAGGAGTATTCCCCCAACTATTGGGACCAGCGAAGCCCATATGCGCCACTCAAAATGCTTGCTCCAAACTAACCACTGCAGAATAACTGCATGACATGGATTGGAAGCAGACCATCAGGGAGGGTGTTACATGCTGTAGCAATATGATAATGCTAAGAAAACGAAAATGAATATGGAATAGTGATGATGTAAGGAGGTGCAAAATGACTCTACCCGTGGTTGCAGGGGTGAAAGATTTGATAGTCTGCATAAAGGAGACTGGGATGTAGCGCAGGCTGACATTTCCGAGCACGATGTTTATGCAGAAGACAAATGACATTGGAAAAATCCTTCTCCAACGGTCTTCTGGTTCGACTTGAATGAGTGGTTTTGCTTTGAGCACATGGATTGCAATATAAGCCCCAATTGAAGAGCATATGAAGTGGACACAAGACACCGTCAGAGGAAATTTGAAATCCAGCTTCTACACCAACCAAGGAAAAGAAAAGAGAGAGAAACTTATCGCATGTGGTGCTTGATGTAAACTTAGTTAACACCATGCATCGTATACAATTCCTTGCTTTTGAACTGTGCAGGGCATTAAGTTTTATGAGAAGAGTAAACATAAATGAAGGAATTGTTGATGAGAGGAAGGTTTTCGGTATCATGTATCATGTATGTATGTACCTATGATGTTATGTACGTATGCATCTACGATGGCATAAGGATTAGTTAGTTGAACGAAATCTAGTATGTATATGGCGGCAGGATGGTACATCGCTAGTATAGGATTAAAATTTTCAGTTGTGTTGGGCATAATGATGAAATGCAGTGTGTGAAACAGGAGATTGCAATTGAGAGCAGCAAACCAACATTCTGAAAAGAAAAGAAAATAAAAGAAAAATATTTATTTGATGGGTGGGACTAGCAGCATGTTTCCGTTGACTAGAGGAGGAAATCTAGGAGAAATAGAGTAGAAGTTGAATTGTTTGGCAGGATATCCATTGAAGAGGGGAGAATGGAATCTTGAATCGGAGAGAGAAAGGAAGGAAGGGGAGGGATCCAGGGAGAGAGAGGAAATCTGGACCTGGAAGATCCACTTGTTGATGATGATGACGGTGACGTTGAAGCCCCACCACTGGAGGATGGCCAGCAGCGCGCGCAGGTTGCCCAGCCCACCGCCGGTGCCGGCCTCACCCCCCTGCTCCATCTCCTCTTCCTCTTCCTCTTCTCCTCCCCAAGCTTGTTGATTGATTTCGCAAAGCCTATATATGAGGGATGCCCTCTGCTTAGTTAGTATGTACCGCAGGCAGGAAGGGAAGCGCTACCTCGTCCCCATGGGCATGGCAGGCAAGCTTGAGCAAATGGAGACCCGCCGCCGCCGCCGCCGCCGAGAGGAGGAGGAAGAGGAAGAGGAAGAGGAGCCTCAGCCTCGGATACGCGCGCGGCGGCCGCGTTTTGTGGGGGAAGCCAAAGGGAAGGTTGCTGGGTACCTTTGCTTGCTGCTTAATTAGCAGCTACTAGCCGCTTCACTTGCTCTAATCTAGTACTAGTACTAGTAATGCTCTGTCTTCACAAACAGAAAACAAAAAAAGGACTTCTTTGGTAATAGGGTGGTTTGCTGGGACATGTAAATTGCAGCGCCTGACCTGACACACAGACTCTAATCACCTCGCAACGAAGAGAAAACACTAGTCCTTTTTTTTTTTTTGCGGGGAGAAAACACTAGTCCTACTAGCAAGCAATTAGGGCAAGTATAAAAGTAAGCTATAAGCCTACTATAAGGCCAGTCACAATGGGGGTTTCACTAGTGTGTCATGCACATTTAATAGGGGTAAGACTGAATAAAAAATGATTATTTGCATGAAATGGGGATGAGAGAGAAGGAAAGAGTTTCATCCTGGTGAAACTCGTCAGCGTCGTTTCCAAGTCCTCGGTAACAGAGTGAAACCCCCGTTGAGGCCGATTCGTTTCATTCACCGGATCTCTTGCGTCCGCCTCCGCCGTGCGACCTCCGCATTCTCCCGCGCCGCGCCGGATTTTGGGTACAAATGATCCCAGCAACTTGTATCAATTAAATGCTTTGCTTAGTCTTGGAAACGTCAAAGTGAAACCCCTCCACTGTGGGGATTGTTTCATAAAAGATTTCATTTGAGAGAAGATGGTATAATATTTTGGGTAGCCGTGCAATGACACTAGCCATTGTGACTGGCCTAACTTATGTGGAGGAGAAAGATAACAAAATATCAAGGATGTTGGCTCTTATGCAAGAGCTAGCTTAACACAAACTCCTAGGTAAATACATTAAATGCATAGGTGAGAGATAGAGAGAGAGGAGAAGAAAGTTGTAGCCAACCTTATAGCTAATCCATTATATATGTTAGCTTTAAGATAGACTAATAGTGGTGAGCTCTACTATTATCCTTGCTCTTGCTCTTAGTAGTACTAGTAGTAGTAACCAATCAAAAATAACTCAAGATTAAAGCTTGTACCACTGCTACTAATTAGCTGCTGGCTGGAGAAGAAATCAAAAGTAGGGGCCAAGATGCGTAACATCGCATCAAATCCCACGCCCGAAAGTCCAAAGTCACAACTGGAACGCTTGAAACAACCTACCCCAGTCCCTAGTCCCTGTTTGATTTGTTACGCTAGTCAAACAAAACCAATCAACCTGCCTAATTATACTCCTATATAGCACTGTTAGCACTTGTTAATATCGGATCACTGTAATCGAATGAACGCGACTGGCATCACTACATTTTTTTTTCATGCGTTGCGTCCACACTCAAAATACTAGTGATGCCTTCTGCGCCATTCCAAATTGCCAGCTCTGCTCTGTTTAGTGTTTACAACACAAACAAACTACTAACAATTGTCGGCAGCTTCCTCTACTCTCTGCAAACTGAGATGCTCACACTCACACGCATGCATGATTGAGCACATGAACGCTACTACTACCCCACAGGGCCACAGGTAGGGTTCAGCTTCATCACATGATCGACCAAGGCCTAGTTTAGATCTAAAGTTTTTCTTCAAACTTCCAATTTTTTCATCACATCAAAACTTTTCTACACACACAAACTTCCAACTTTTCTGTCACATCGTTCCAATTTCAACCAAACTTCCAACTCAAGCGTCCAGATGGCTCAGTACTTAAAAGTACAACAGTATCCCCAATTTCACCATGGTCATCCCAGAATGGGATCAGGAACAAGCACACGCACATATATTCTTCATGTTCAATGATCTTAATTCTCAAACCAATAGACCAAAAAAAGGGCGAAAGATTTTAACGGGAGCAATTCTGAATATGGGTATCCCTAGAGGACCATGTCCAACGTAAATGGCGCACCGCCTAGATCTCCTCCTCTTCAAAAGGGTCCCTCTCTGGGTAGTCCCCGACCTGCAAAGACCCAAAGACAACTGCTGAGTAACAGTACCAGTGTACAAACGCACAATCTAAACACAATACAAACCCATGGAAAAATACGCTGGATATTTGCACTGATGTTTTCTAACACCCAACAGGGCTATTCAAAAGCCACAATGCCACTTGAGATACTAAGAATATGCAATGCAACATGACCACATATCCACTATTACATGTTCCACTAATGCAAGCACACGGCGGTTACTCCTTGCATTCCAAAGAGTCAATTGAAGAAACACTAAACCCAAATGCAAACCATAATGTTAAGACCAATTTGCCAACTACTCCCGAGCAATTGTACTCCAAAAGAGAGGACTGGTTGGCATCTAGCCAGGAGAATATACCTTTACTTTCTCTGGCCTAACAATAGCTCCATGCCCTTGAGGACACTCGAAAAAGCGAATGCCTTTCACCCTACAGTATCAAAGAAGCAAGACATAATGTTACCAAGAGCTATTTGCCCATAGACCTGGTACTGTGCACCAGGCACAATATCTTCGGTACTAGCTAAAGAGAGTATGGTCAGGTAGCAAGCCAATCATCAGGAAAATATAGTGTATCATAAAATCGGCATGACAACTTATAGTGACAAATCAAATAATTAACACAAAAGGCCTATTGTTTCTCATTGTGATGTTTTGTCAATAATATTATTAAAACTACTCCCTCCGTCCCAATATAAGTGCAACCTAGTACGGATGTGACATATTCTAGGACTACGAATCTGGATAGCTGCTAGGATAAGTCACATCTGTACTAGGTTGCACTTATATTGGGACGAAGGTAGTACTAACATTTTTATTGCTGGTTAAATATTCATACTGAATGTTATGGTGAAAAGTGATGATATTACAACTGTGTCTGCTTGGCGTTCCTCGACTTATACTGCAAAAGACAGATGCTAGTATTTTATCCCCTTTGGAGTTGATTAAATTGACCAATAAATATGTGTGAGCGGGCAAAAGAGCAAAACACTGCAACCTGAATTGGCAGTCATGAGAGCAATAAGTATGAGTTGTTCCTTATTGTGGTTTTTTGTCAATAAACTTACATGCCATCATGCTTTCCAAGTGGTTCATCATATTGGACTCCAACCCAAAATCCACGTCCAAGAGCTTCAGCTCTGCCAACAAATTTTACAGTACCCCTCTTAGCACCTGGCTCGACTTCACATCTATCACCCACCTGTGGCATAATTCTTCTATAATAAAGACAGCACAGAGAAAGATCGGCACAATTCCATACTAGATAAAAAAAAGAAGGCTTACAACCCAATTCGGAACTGAATAATGATGCATGAAATCAGTAGTGTCCCCTTTCATAGAAACAAAACTGGTTTTCAAAAATAAAAAGGCAACATAAAACAACTATTTTCTATTTATAATGACTGATATATGCAAACATGCCCAATAAATCACCAATATCATGGTCGGAATTCAAATTATTTATCATAAGAATGATACACATTCAGACAGTTGATAGGAGGATGCTACCGTTCTTTATGGAAAACTGCTATTCAAAAACATGGGAGATACTAGAACAAAACACACTGCTAGTCTTGTCGGTTGCTCCAATTCATAGCAATGAAGAAAAGACGAAGACAGCTAGTTTCAAGTTCATCCTCAAAGATGTCCACTTATTCCTTCAAGCTTGCCATGTTCACTAGAGCAATAGATTCATATACATCTTAAAAATCAGTGTTTGTTTAGAGGGACAAATTACAGTAACTGATGCGATGCCTAGCATGCTGTCTGAAACTGTAATATTCAATTGCACGACAGCATATCCAGTATTCTATTTACAGATGCATTTGGACAAGGGAGGATGTTGAGGGCAGTCTTGGAAATTTTTACGATGCAGTTCAAATTTCTATGGATTTGGATCCAAGTCCGCAAAAAACTCATGCGCACATTTCAAACAGGTCCTAAGGACCAGGGGTTGGGAATGCGGTAGGGGAAATAAATCACTGCATTACTAATTAAGCTATAAAACCAGCCTCGGAAAAATCAACATATATATATAAGAGATTAGCTAGCAATATCCCATAGTATGTGCCACAAGTTAATAGTGAACATGGGGGAACAAAATTTGCTGACCTTGATGTTGGCGCACAATTCCTCCATATGCTTGTCAGATTGCTAAAGAACACAAGAAGTAGAGTAAGCAAGGTGAAAAATAGGAACGGATAGCCAAAAACCTGAGGAAGCTTACTTGTTGTTTATCATCTGACGTAGGGTTTTTAAAGGCCATCTTTTCTTTGAATTTTCGAAAGTTTGCTGGCTCAGAACATAAGATGTTAGTAGTAAATAGTGGAGGTAATTAAGCCATGTTTAGTTTCCAAAAAGTTTTTCCCAAAAACATCACATCGAATCTTTGAACACATGCATGAAGCATTAAATATAGATAAAAACAAAAACTAATTGCACAGTTAGGGGGGAAATTACGAGATGAATCTTTTGAGCCTAATTAGTCCATGATTAGTCATAAGTGCTACAGTAACCCATATGTGCTAATGACGGATTAATTAGGCTCAAAAGATTCGTCTCGCGGTTTCCATGCGAGTTATGAAATTAGCTTTTTTATTCGTGTCCGAAAACCCCTTCCGACATCCGGTCAAACGTCCGATGTGACACCCAAAAATTTTCATTTCGTGAACTAAACGGGGCCTTAGTAAAAGGCAAAAGGGTAGCATCAACATAGGATTGCCATTGATGCAACATAACAAAAGCACTGGTATAGGAATTGAAGGCAGCAAGCACTATATATGGGGGGACTTACTATCAAGATTATTATATGCTTCATCTGAGATGGTGTACTTTTCAACAAGGGAAGTATCCTCCAACCAACCACCAGAGGTGATTGACGAAGGATCGAGATCGATAATGTGCAGACGGTACCTAAGGAGATGAGACGGGAGTGAGATTGGCAGAGGAGCGAGAAAGAGGAAAGCAGAGGAAGTAAGTTAAGTAACCCGTCGTATGGGGAGTAGGAGGCGAGGGTGGCGTCATCGTGGTCGAGGTCGGCGATCATGGCGCCGGTGTCGTCGCGGAGCTGGAGGCGCATGAAGGCAACGGATGTGCCGGTCTTCCTCCAGAGCTTGTCCTTGAGCGCCTCGACGGAGGTCTGCAGCCTAGAAATGACATGGGTCATTCATTGAATCATGAGGAGGAGGAGGTGAGACCTGACCTGCTTGGAGACGCGGATGTCGGAGGAGAAGGTGGAGAGGTTGGAGTGCGTGAGGAGGAGGAGGACGCTGTCGTCAGCCGGGAGATGCAGCTTGGACGAGGACGACGACATTATTACCGGAGATGGCCGCCGCCGCCGATCGGAGCTGAGCTGAGCTGCCTGCCGCCGGCTGTGGGGAAGGAAGGGAAGGGAATCAGGAACTCGTCGATCCCACAAAAAGAGTAGAGGAAGCAACGGGCCAACAATGGCCCAGGCCCAACATGCAGACCAGGCCCAATACCAGCAGCACATTTCCTTTTGTTTTGGTGGATATTTTCCTCCTCTTCCTCGAGTCCTCCCCCACAGCAGCAGCTGCTTGTACCTATCCTCCACCACCACCAGCAGCGAGTCATGGCGGCCATGGCGATGGTGTCCGTGCAACTCACAGTCGCGGCGAGGCCCCTGCGCTCCCGCCGCGCGCTCTCCGTCTTCACCTGCGCCGCACCCCCGAGGCAGCGGCCTCCTCCAGGCCCAACCAAGCACCGCCGCCTCCGCCACGACGCCGACGCGCAGCCTCCCAGGAAGCGAGGTCATCCTCCTCCTCCTCCTCCCAGGCGCACCCGCACCCGGGGCCCTCCCGCTCGCCCCCAACAATCCTACACTGACGACGACGAGGAAGAGGACGACCAAGACGAGGAGGAGGGGAGCTTCGGTGGGGGCACCCGGGCTGCCGCCATGCCCAAGCCGCCAGCGGGCTTCGTGCTGGACGACCAGGGAAGGTGCATCGCCGCCGCCTCCAAGCGCATCGTCACCATCGTCAGTCTATACAGCTTTTCCTCCTCTTTAGCATTACATTTTCATTTTCATGCCAACATCTTTTCCCTTCTTCTGCGGAGCAGATTGATGACACCAACAACCGGCCCTTGGAGTGCATCATCAGGAGGGTGTTCCGAAGCACGCTAGACCACGACTGCATGCTCCTTTGCCCAGTTGACATGTATTCTACTAATTGCAACTCACTTATTAGTCACTAACTAGGCATATGCATCTTCCTCAATTTTCTCTAGCTGCCACTCAAACCCCCCTCCCCCTCCCATTCTGATCCTTGTCTCTTTCAGGCCTGTGCAGGTCCTTAAGAGTGCCAATTTCAGTGGCTGGATTGCTGTATGTATCTAATCCTCTCACTGCCTTCCATTTTCATCAATCACGCCAATATCATTCATCACACACACTGCCACGCATACATACAGAGACTGATTCTCGCAATATCTCCTTTATTTCCTACCCATATAGTTCCAATTGGAATAGATAGCGTTTCCTCATCTTTATCCATCGCATCATGCATAATTTCTTTTCTTTTCTATGTATATGTAGGTTGATGATGACCAGATTAAGGAAATCATTCCATCCGTTGCATATGCCCTCGCTAGAGTGCATATGCACTTTGTAGAGAGTGGGTAAGGATCATATAAGCCCCAAATCATCTACCCTTCCTGTCGAACTGACAAATATCAGGGTATTCCATTCTTCTTGCTTATTGCTTCCATAACACTATGATCGCTGGCTGGCTTTTCCAGATTTTGTTATACAGCACGGGGTGGCTTTTGCTTTCCTGAAGACGCGATTCAAGAATTTCATGGTAACCAAAGGAACTAACATGCTACTAACTACCCTATTTGCACAAAAGGTTCTGATGATATCTTCTCACTGAAAAGGCTTTTTTTTTCCAACCGTTGTACAAAATAGAAATGTTACTATACTTGTATGATTGACATACCCATGATATAATTGTCTTTTGCACCAGATATTTGCACATGTATGCCTTTTGAATTTCATGCCTAATGCTTACAAAAAATCTAGAAACATAAAGGTAACTTTTAGTTGAAGGACTGGACAACTAGCATATGCAATTGAAACATCTCTTTGAAGCATGCAGCATGTTATGTCTCTTGTTTGATCATTTTTGCACTTCATTGTTGTGTTCATAATTCATATTAATATGCAGATTCTGGTGACGGCGGTGATAGTGTACCTTTTGAAGGTGTAGAGATTTGTTGTTTCAATTTGGTGAGAAAAATGGCTTTGTATCGACATAGTTTCAGAAATTAATGGATCGCTAAATATTCCTTGGTATTTTGTTGATTTGCACATGCTTGAGAATATGTATTTGCTGATATTCCTGGCATCGGCAGGATGGCGCACATTATATGATTTATACACCAGTTGATCCTCTTCTGTTCGTTGCAGTGAAGGTATGTTGGTTGTTCTTCAACTTGTTGAGACATTCCAAGCTAAACTTGTTGAGGCATTGTGCCTGAAAACATACGCCCTTTGTGCAGGATAAAGATGGCGTGCTACGCATTGCTGAAGATGTAAGCAAATATTTAATGCTATACTGACGTGGTTCTTTCGAAGTTAAATTATAATGACGGGTAAGGAATGCCCTCTGTGAACAGGAACTCATGGACGACCCTGCTGTTGTCGGTGCCATAGACGAAGAGACAGAATTCACAGCTTTGGTGGTAAGAGTAGACACCTACTACTTGTTAGTTTGATCATTTACATTCTTATGTGCAAGTTTTTTACATCTACATGTGGATGTGGTGCAGGAGGAGGAAGAGGCCCTTCTTGAATCGGTGCTGGGTGAAAGATGACCATGCCGCGGCCTGTATTGATGGTCGATCAGAGGCGGAGACTGCAATGGTGGGCGTCCATCGATCATCATTCCCACCCACCAATTAAGTAGCAGAAGCAAGCTCCCCGCAAAAAAAAAAAAAAAAAAAAAAAAAAGAAGGTAGCAGAAGCAAGCTAAGATAGACTGCGAGAAGATTTGTACTACAACCAACAATAGGGATATATATAGAATGGAGCACTGTGATGTTAGATGTGCAAAGTAGCTTGAACTAGGGACTCATATTAAGCTGCTTCTCTCCGATGAAGCTTGCAAACTCAGTCTGTTGTTCTTGCTGGCCTCGCATGATGGTGATCTTGCACTTGTTTAGGGGTACTAGTACCATAGCCCTTCTTGGGGAGGGAGTATTTTGCTGGGCTGGCACTGGCATTGCATGATGTTTGCAGTCTTTTTCTTCTTTTTCTCTTCTCTTTTCTTAAAGAAGGAACGTCACTGCCATTGGACGGTGAAGAAGAAGAAGCGTCATTCGATCTATACTTCTGTCTCTCGCTAAGGATCCCGGTCAGGTTAGGTTGCGCTATCCGCAGATACTTTCTTTACCCATAGAAAGTCTTTGCCGAATTGCAGCAGTAAGCTAGTCTAGTTGTCGGCCTCGGCCAAAGCTGAGAAACCATTAGCTAGCCTTCATTTCTAGCAAGACTTGCTGGTACGCATACGTAACTTAAATCTCCATCATCTCTCTAGATCAGGCACAGCCAGACAGCAAAATCAGCAGATGGCATGCCACATCGACTTGTTACAAGATGTTACCATCATCTCTTGCATCCTTGGAAACCATTAGCCTTATTTACAAATAATAAACAAGACGGCAATATGAGACTGCATAAGATAAGAGCCATGGGCATGATACGGCAATATGACTCAGTCTTCACGGTTTGTACAAAAGGGGAGTGGTAGGAAGACAGACTATGCATAGGAGATGATAAACAGGAGCAGCAGCATTTAGAGTAATCCTTCCCCTTCAGCTCGTGCAAGTTTATTTATTTCGTCAAGACTCATAAATATGACATCTCAGCAAATAGAAAATATTTTCAGACCTTGTATTCCCATTTTATCTGTTTAACTTTTTCTTGAAGCATAATTTATCAGTTTTAAGGCTATATGGTAGTCTAGATGTATATCAAATTAATACTAGCAGTCTACTGTAACACCAATAACAAACTTTTCCTTTTTCTTGTGGTCATGCATATACATCTGACATATTTAATTCGAAAAATTCAGAAGCAATATATATAGAGATGGGTATACACAAAGATGCCATATCTATCACTGCACAGCGGATGTGGATAGTATAAGACCGAAACCTACTTTCTCACCATGATCTCCATCCTCATGAGGAGCGTATACTGTGGGTCCGTGATGCCCAAACTCCAAAAACCAGGAACCAAAACACAAACAAGATCGCCCAACATCGCATAGATCCATATTGGATCCTTGGGAAAACCTGCAAACATAGAAGATAATGGATCACTCTATGGCCATCACAGAAACCATGCCAAAAGCAGGAATCCTCTCAATATATGCAATCAGTCAAAGTCAACATGTGGCAATGCAGTGAAACATATCATTAGAAAACAATCATTTACTTACAAATCTCAGGGAGATTATTATAGTCAACGCACATAAACCTCCAAGAAGCATGTGAAGACAAATCACAGCAGCTTTCTGCAAAGAAATTAAAACAAAACCATTCTTCTCAGTGATGTTTGATCCATGGAAGATTCTTAATTGCAAATTGTGTGAGATGAGAGGGTGTTAATTAGTTGACAATAATGCATAGAGAAAGACTGAGAAATGAAAGAAATTTGCATGTGACACATAATATTCCATGGATAATTGAACACGATGAGAACGCAACCTGATGGTATTATAAGGCACAGCTGCATCTATTTTTCTACTTAAGCCTGTCTACCTTATATCTCTAAAAATCGATCAAGAGCATTTGCCATACAATGTTTGGATAAAGACCACAAACATGATCTGTTGCATTGTGCTAGCCGGTACCAAACTTTCATAAGAGAAGGACGTGAGACATATCATCAGATACACGGTGTGTATTAGTTAGGACAAAGCAGTAACAGGCAATAGATATTTAAGCCGCACACCACTTTCGGAAGATAAATGGACATTAAGATATGAATTATAAGATGGAGCTTTATGCATCAAAGTATTCTTTTTTGCATTATGACTTCTTAAAACTGACTCTGCAACTAAATGTGTAACTGTGCTGAACATAGACTTAAGGGGGTCTGTGCTTGCAAGATAATAAATTTCAAGAGATTCGAATGATCCTAACATAAAGTGTCAAAAAGTGTGGAATCAAGTTGTAGTTTCCAAATGACAGAGGTCACAGGTAAGAACAAAGCAGTTTGGAGATCAAACTTACCTTACCAACATGTGGAGCAACTAACCATGCAAGAACAATAACACCTAGGCCAATGGCAAGAAACACTCCAGTACCCTCCAAACTCCATCTTGTGTGTACTACTGTTGTTACCACAGCACCATGGTGTATAGAATTATTACTTGGACTAGCAGGTGTTTGTTCGGTTTGGCCCTGAGAAATAGCGAGGTGTGAATTTTGAGGGTTGAACCATGAGGATATCTCGGAGAGGCGCTGTCTGCGTATCGCGGCGACAGCGTCTGGATCGACACCTGAATCTGCCCCATAATGCAAGTAAGAGAGGTCTCCAGTGGAAGTCCTTTCCCTGAGAGCTTCATATTCCTTCAAGGAGGCAAGGACCTTATTGAAATCCGCAGGCCTTACATTTACAGCGACATGTCCGCAAATCTCGCATACAGTAGAACCATGGGTGATGAACCACTTGAGTGCGCAGGCGTAATGCGCAAGAGCAAGGTCGTTCTTGCAGGAGCATCCTAGATCCATGAGATGGTGGTGGTGATGCAGAGGGCCTGATTCCAGGTCGGTGGTGGCGGCGGTGCAGACAAAAATCTCGCCGCGGGGGCTTACGAACTCGAGGACATTGTTGTTGGTGGCGGTGGCGGTAGCAACATCATCTGCATCTTCATCTGGAGAAGAAGGCGGCGGTAGAATGCCTAAGAAAGCAAGGGCGGAGTGTCCTCTGAGATCAGGCTCGACACAGTGACAGACTCGGCAAAGTCTGTCGGTGCTATCATCTGCATCTGCAACTGAGCCTGAGGACGGCGGGTCGTCCTCCACCTTGAGCCCCATCTCATCTTTATCTATCCATCTGACCGCGTGATCATCTCATCTCCCGGTGCCCTTGTCCTAGTAATCTATCTGATGAATCTACACCGAGCGAATCAAGCGTCTAGAGAGAGGAGGGAGGGATAGGGCAAGCCCAAACGAACCTCGTCTCAAGTAAAGGATTGATGGTGCGACTGCGAGCGAGGGCGATCCGAGAAGCGGAAGCAAGGCACCTCGGTGGATGATGAGTCAGATCGAATCGCGATTTGCTTGCTCCTTGTGCGATCGAGTTGCGAGCAAGACGATGGATGGACTCGACTACTGCCGCGCGGCGCCGGTGGGGAACGGAATCTAGCGGCTGGGTCCACCCTTCTCTTCTCCTCTCTTCTCTACTACTACTGGTACGACTACAGCTGTCCCTCCCTCTGCGTTGGCAAAATCTCTCAATTTATATTTTAATAGAGAAAAAAAAGGAAAAAGGGCTCGTGCGTTGTATTTTATTATTGTCATATGGTTTAGTCATAGAGAATTGTAAATATATCACTACTTTCACCCCTAACTTGAAATAGCCATTAGAAAAACATAACTTGTAAATTTGCCACTTAAGTTGGTCCACCGTGCTTTCACATGCCATCGTTGTCTGAACTAGCGCAATTAAGAGGCAAAAAGAATACGTAAACTATATTGAAAAACAAAACAACTTAATAATATTATTTTGCCCTCTAATAGACTAGAGTCATCGATGTCTTTCCATGCTCCTCTATCTCGACCGCATTGCCCTGAATAACCGTTCCCCTTCTCTCTCTCCATAGGGTCCCTAGATCCCAAATCCTCTCACCCCCTCTAAATCGAGAGCAGATCAATCAAAAATCAGTTGCACTGAAGCGAGTGACTAGAATAAGGCCCTGTTTAGATGGAACTAAAACTTTTAAGTCCCTATCACATCGTATGTTTAGACACTAATTATAAATATTAAACGTAGGCTATTAATAAAACCCATTCATAATCTTGAACTAATTCGCGAGACGAATCTATCGAGCCTAATTAATCCATAATTAGCCTATGTGATGCGACAGTAAACATTCTCTAATTATGAATTAATTAGGCTTAAAAATTTTGTCTTGTGAATTAGCTTTCATTTATATAATTAGTTTTGTAAGTAGTCTATATTTAATACTTTAAATTAATATCTAAATATAAGGATTAAAGTTAAGTGTCTAGATCTAAACACCACCTAAAAGAGCTCTTGGAGATTGGTTTTGGCTGGTATGGCAGCAAAACGATCTATGGCTTGGAGACATGCACTGCAACAGCAGGTGAGGACAACAGCTGGCGGTGGCAGCAACAGGTGGTGGCGGAGGCGGCGGCAGCAGCACCATCAACAGGCAACAGCGGCAATAGACAGCGCTAACAAGCAGACTGCAATAGCAGCAGGCGGCAGCAGCAAGCAACAACACTACATCAGCAACAAGAGCAGCATAAGAAATGGAGTACCAAGGAACGGAACATACTCTGCAGCATTAGAGGGAAGGGGAAGGAGAATAAAATTCGGTTAGCATATCCATTTGATATGCTATGGAGCCTTAGTCGAATGTTTCTTATCTTTTGTTTATTGCCTCAGATGCCGTAATGTTTTATGTCTTGTTCTTGCATTTTTTGGCAGGGGTATCCTTGTACTAATTTTCATGAAAATAACCCTTCTAACGCTGTTAGCTCAAGCCGTTTTTCCCTGAATAAATTCTTTTTTTTCATCATCCTATCTAACCCACTAAATTCTAAAGCTCAATATGTAAAGATATCACATCATCATTCATTAACAAGATTGTTACTTGCTTCGTTTCAAGTTATAAGACGTTTTGACTTTGATCAAAGTGAAACTACTTCAAATTTGACAGACAAATATATACCAAATTAGTTTCATTAAATCAATAATTAAATATATTTTCATAATAAATTTGTCTTGGGTTGAAAATATTATTATATTTTCTACAAACTTAGTTAAATTTGGAGCAGATTGACTTTGACCAAAACTAAAACGTCTTATAACCTTAAACGGAGCGAGTAGTGTTTAGGCCAAAGCCAATATGACGGCCTAAACTCTTGAGACCTCATCCAAAATACAAATATAGTAAGTACGGGTATGTAACGGGTATTTAAAACTTGAGAATAGATTTATCTGATATTTTAAAATAACTTATATATAAAAATATTTTTTTACGAAATACAATATTTAAAAGCATGAAAAACGTGTTAACAAAAGGCGAGGTAAAATTTATATGTTAATTAGAAAAGAAGGAATTCTTAGGCTCGGTGAAACTTTGACCCAATATAGAGTTGGAGCAAGTAATTGATGGTTTTAGGAACAGGAGAATAGGACGTCCGTGACAGCGGCAACCACCACCTTCTGCACACGCCCACTGCTGGATGAAGGTTGGACAATCATCAAATTATTATTGCTAATTGATAATAATAATAATTAATAAAGACATCTCCTCTTGGCTCTTTTACTGTTTGATATGGTTTATAATCGTCGGTCGATTTCTTCGTCTCATCTTCTGATAATTTACTCCAGTTTACTTCTGCCTGCGGATTCCAATTCCGAGCATCGCACCTCCATCGATCGTCGACGAATTCCTTCTTGGCCCAGAAACAACACACACACTCAAATCTGGATCCATCAATTTCTTCTTTAAGGTATATATACAGTACAGAGAGTGCTCGATTGATTTCACTCCGCTTCTTCTTCTTCTTCCTCCTCCTTGATTGAGTTGTTTGCTCGATCGATGGATTGATTGTCACTGTCTGTTTAGCAATCAAGCTAGCTACGAACAGGAATGTAGTACTAATCTGCATCGATCAGTGCCTCTAATCTTCTTCTTCTTCTCTTGTAACCAGCAGCAGAAGCAAGCAATCCCCCTCTCCTCTCTGAGAGAGATGGCGTTTGGCAGCCACACGCGCCTGGATGTGAGGCGGGCGCAGCAGCACTCCTCATTCTGCTCCCCCTCCTCCGCCGCCGCCGTCTTGGTGGCGCTGGCCTTGGTCGCCGTCTGGATGGCCTCTTCCACGCTCGTCACCCCCGCGGATTTCTCCCCCTTCCGCCCCACAACCACAACCACAACCACAACCGCTCGACCTCGGAATCGGATGGATCCTGTGACTGTTGAAGAGGACGCCGACGACCCTCCTCCACTCACACTCAGACAGACTGAGACCGGACCCGGAGGGGATAATGGCTCCCACTCCCACTCCCCCTCCCTGGAGACCGCTACAGAGGCAGACCCTCAAGCTGCACAGTCCAACAGCAACACCAAGGACACTCCCCACAATAAGCAGCAGCAGCAGCAGACTGCGTCGCCCACCCCCAGCAGCTATGCTTGGAAGCTCTGCAATACTGAGGCTGGTCCAGATTACATCCCATGCCTCGACAATCTCCAAGCCATCCGCAACCTTCGGACGACCAAGCACTATGAACACCGAGAAAGGCATTGCCCCCAACACCCTCCTACCTGCCTTGTCCCTCTTCCAAAGGGCTACACAAATCCAATTAGGTGGCCTAACAGCAGAGATCAGGTCTAACTTTGCTATCTTGCCTTATCATTACCACTACTCCTAGCCCTAGAATGATTCATTTACTTTGTGTTTGCTTGATGCAGATATGGTACAACAATGTCCCGCATACTAAGCTGGTAGAATACAAGGGTCATCAGAACTGGGTTAAGGTCTCCGGGGAGTACCTCACCTTTCCGGGAGGAGGAACTCAGTTCAAACATGGCGCATTGCACTACATTGATTTCATTCAGGAGGTAATGTTCCTCAGTTTTTTGTGTGTGTCAACAGGCGTTATTGTTGTGCAATACAACCATTCGTTACAACATTTCTAACAAGTTGACAAATTATAACCGTAAACCTTTTACATTGTTAGAACGAATATTACAAATTGCTAATGATTGTTGAGTAGGTGCCTCAACCAAATTCCTTTGGAATCAAACTACATATCAGCAACGTTGCTTCTAGTTAAGCAGAATGTAGCTCTTTTCTTCTTTCCTGCAAAAATAATAATCCAATAGATTTCGTTATTCAAATGTGGTGGTTACATAAGTACGATCGAGCTTGTTCAACTAACATGTCTGATTCTTCTATGCAGGCAAAGAAGGATATAGCATGGGGGAAACAAACTCGTGTGGTTTTAGATGTTGGTTGCGGAGTTGCCAGCTTTGGAGGATATTTATTTGATAGAGATGTTCTTACTATGTCGTTTGCACCTAAAGATGAGCATGAAGCCCAGGTGCAGTTTGCTCTTGAGAGAGGAATCCCTGCTATGTCAGCAGTTATGGGTACAAAAAGGCTTCCATTCCCCGGCAGGGTCTTCGACGTTGTTCATTGTGCACGCTGTAGGGTACCATGGCATATTGAAGGTGCTTTCTGTCACAAGGAACCTCTTCCTGTACAATATCATACCTACCTTTTGTGTTACCCTTGTTTGACGTATATTAATATCAAACCTACCTTTTGTGTTACCCTTGTTTGACGTATATTTGTGTTTTTTCTTAGGTGGTAAGCTCTTGCTAGAACTGGATAGACTGTTGCGTCCTGGTGGCTACTTTGTGTGGTCTGCCACTCCTGTGTACCAGAAGCTGCCAGAAGATGTTGAAATATGGGAAGGTAAATTTATTGGAGCTCTCTTACATTCAGAATTTCGCGTTCTTGGATATGCTATTGGTGGTATCTTGAGCCTGGACAGTTCCTAGACTCCATGCCAACTGAATTATTGTAATGAAATAGCGTATTGTATTATTATTATTTTTTTAAAAAAAGAGATAAAGAAATAGTGTGTGCTATTCACTACCTAATAGTTATGCTTGTGCATTGTTCCAGCAATGTCTACTCTAACAAGGTCGATGTGTTGGGAAATGGTCAATAAAGTGAAGGATAGGGTAAATAGAGTGGGTATAGCAATTTTCAGAAAGCCAACGGATAATAGCTGTTATGAGGCAAGATCAGCAGCAAACCCTCCAATCTGTGGAGAGTATGATGATCCTGATGCTGCCTGGTAAGTGTTTTAGCTGGTTATATCTTCATTCTTGGGTACTGGTTACCAAATCTTGTACCTAACTTTTAGGTTCATTCATTCCCTTGTTGTCATTCAGGAACATATCATTGCAGTCATGCGTGCATAGGTTGCCCACTGATCCTGCCATCCGTGGTTCACAGTGGCCGGTGGAATGGCCATTGAGGTTGGAGAAACCACCTTACTGGCTGAAAAACTCTGAGGCTGGTGTCTATGGGAAGCCTGCCACTGAGGATTTTCAAGCAGACTATGAGCACTGGAAGCAGGTCATAAGCAATTCATATATGAATGACTTGGGCATTGATTGGTCAGCTGTTAGAAATGTTATGGACATGAAAGCCGCATATGGAGGGTATGCCATAGCACTCGCATCACTTCTTCGTTGCCTTCTTTTTTTTCAATGCCTATCTAGTGTTTTTTTTAATAAAAAAAGATTTACATGCCCATCTAGATCTAGTTCTTTCCATGCATTTTTTAATTTTTCTTTAATTGAAATCTATGTTGGTAGATTATTCTGAAGCAAAAGGATGCATCTATTGTGTTATATCCCATTTGATTTCTTGAATCCACTTCCTCTTGTAGGTTTGCGGCAGCTTTGCGAGATCTGAAGCTGTGGGTTATGAATGTTATTCCAATTGATTCACCTGACACACTTCCAATTATATATGAGCGTGGGTTGTTTGGAATCTACCATGATTGGTGTGAGTCATTTAGCACCTACCCCAGAACCTATGATCTTCTGCACGCGAACCATCTTTTCTCCAAGATTAAAAAGAGGTACAATCTCGATCTCTCCGTAAATGTGAACACAAAACCAAAGATATATGTAAGATATATGTGAAGGTTGTCACTTTGTTTATTGATTGGTGCTGCCAATGAACAAAACTAATTTTCCTGCTGAGCATGCGTCCTTTGTGTGTGTAAATTTTGCCATTGCATCGCCTATGGTTTTAGTATCATTTTGGTAGCACTGGCACTGGTGCACAATATAGCAATGTGACCAAGAGTTTGTATGGCTGTGCTGAGAGAAGAATAATGTGGTACATGTAATGTAACTGAGATGTTGTTGGATGACAGTGACAGGTGTAAACTAGTGGCAGTGATGGTGGAGGTGGATCGAATACTGAGGCCAGGAGGCAGGCTAATTGTTAGAGATAGTATGGAGACAATGCATGAAGTGGAGTCTATGGCAAAATCGCTACACTGGGAGGTCCGCAAGTCTTACTCCCAGGACAATGAAGGTTTGCTGTTTGTTGAGAAGACGATGTGGCGACCAAATGAAGTTGAAGCTAAGCTATGACGTACCATACCAGCACCACCGTTATGATAGCTCTGACACTGAAACCCTTGGAAGAGGAAAACAAAAGTAGCCAAGTGGGGGATGCACAGTAAGCTATATATATAGTGGGTTTTTGTAGGGGTATACTTGGATTTTGGGAGAAGCTGTAATGTGTTTTTTTTTTTTTTGCGTGGGATGATACATTAGCAACTAATGCATGGTGATGATCCATGTTGAGGCTGGCAAGTTTAACATACATGCATCGCTCTTTGTAGAGTTGTAGCATAAGATAGTAGAATTTGTGTGGAAATTGCTGAAGCAGCTGTTTGGCGTTGTCAACTTGTGGATGCATGCCTTTGTAGGAGGAGGAAGGCGAAGCAGAGGAGTCGTGGATGATCCGATGGGAGTTGGCGTTGCAATCGCACAAGGCGACGTTCCTTCCCGGCGCGGCCCAACAACGTAACGCGGCCCATTTATGGGCTTTCTCTTCCCTCTCTGTCTCAACCGCAACCGCAACCGCAACCAGATAGGTAGGCAGGCAGACATGCGTGTCGCCGCGGCGGCGGCGGCGGCGGCCATCCGCCCCACTGCCGCGCTCCTCCTCCTCTTCCCGCCTCACCGCCGCACCACCTCTCTGCGCCGCTCCTCGCTCCCCTTCGCTCGCCCGCGGCGCCACTCTACCACCACCACCACCGCGGAGTCACACCCGAAGCCCAACGAAAGCAACGCCGCCCGCCGCCGCCGCGCCCGCGACTCGCCCGAGGGCCTCCTCAAGGCCAAGCTCGACATGTGCTCCCGCGACAACGACCTCCCCACCGCACTCGCCCTCTACGAAGCCGCCATCTCCCCCGATTCCCTCATCCCGCTCTCCCTCGGTCACTACAACTGCCTCCTCTACCTCTGCGCCAACGCCGCCGCCGCAGACTCCTCGTCCCCGATGCCGCCAGCGTGGCTTCGACATCTTCTCCAGGATGGAGGCTGACGGCGTCCAACCCAACGAGGCCACCCTCAACATTCTCGCCCGCCTCGCCGCCGCCCGCCGCGACCCCCATGGCTTCTCCATCGTCCGCCGCATGGCCACCGCCGGCACCGCGCCGCACCTCCGCTCCTACGGCCCCGCCCTCTTCGCCTACTGCGACGCTGGAGACGCCGACGGCGCCACCGAGGTGGAGGCTCACATGGACGCCTCCGGGGTGGTGCCCGAGGAGGCCGAGCTCGCCGCGCTGCTCCGCGTCAACTCTGCCCGTGGGAGACCCGACCAGGTGTACAGGCTCCTGCACAGGGCGCGCGTCCTTCTTCGCCAGGTGGCCGACGCAACCGCCCAGCTACTCGAGTCCTGGTTCGCCTCCCACGCCGCCTCAGAGGCCGGTCTGGACCACTGGGACGCCACCAAGGTGAAGCAAGGCCTGCGCAATGGCGGCGGCGGCTGGCATGGCCAGGGCTGGCTCGGCAAGGGCCAATGGACCGTTGCCCGAACCGACATGGACAAGGATGGCACCTGCCACCGCTGCGGGGAGAAGCTTGTCTGCATTGACATCGATCCATCAGAGACACACAGCTTTGCTGAGTCTGTCGCTCAGATAGCCATCAATCGTGACGCCAATTTCGTCAAGTTTCAGGTTCACTCTCCATCCTTTCACCCTCCTCACAAGTCAATTCGTCACACTTATACTTTATGTGCGATATAGCTTCCTTTCGCTCAATACCAGTCTATACCATTAGGCTTCTTCCTTTAATCCCCAAGGAGTGAGGGATTGGAGGGGAAATCCACTCAATCCCCTTGTGAGAGGGATTAACCGAACATAAGTTCAACTCGATAAGAGCTAGCCACAATAAGGACTTTGATGTTCTATCTTCTTGTGTTAGCCGAGAAGAAAAATTAAATTGGTCTAAAGGAGAATTTCTATTTTGGAGCTCTAGAGTCAAGATGGTTACGGATTCCATGTTGCTTGAGGCATTGCGGTTGTTTTTTGCTGGGTCAAGTTTTATTTATTTATTTATTTTGCTGGGACAAATTGCAATTGTTTGGCAAATCCTAATCTGGAGCACTGTAATAAACTTTGTGGAGTTCCCACTGCAAGGGCATGCATTACTACTTCACATTTCTGTTGGGGAGGATTACTTCACAACCTTTTGTGCTGTTGCTTGTTTTAACACAGATATACTGCATTGTAAGCTTCTATGTCTAATGGACAACCTGATCTCTGCAGAAATGGCTCGAGTGCCACGGACCATTCGATGCCGTTATTGACGCTGCTAATGTTGGCCTTTACAATCGTAACAGTTTCAGTTTTTATGAGGTTAGAAGGCATCTGTCTTGCAATGCTGTAAATTAGTTTTTCTTGTCATTAAGGCAGTCAGCCACAACTAACTGTCAATTATGACCGTATTTTCCTTGTAGGTGAACCGGGTTGTAAATGGCATACAGAGAATAACTAAATCAAAGAAATTGCCACTGATAATTTTGCATAAGAACCGAGTAAATGGTGGACCTGCAAAACTTCCGCAGAATCAAAAGCTTCTTGAGAGTTGGCAGAGGGCTGGAGCACTATATGCTACACCTCCTGGTTCTAATGATGATTGGTGAGGCCACATGTTTCCTGTTTAACATTAAAAAAAATCATCTGAACGAAAAAAAATGAACATGTTTTAGTTGAGTTGCATAGATAAAAACTATGGCGCAGCCAACAGGAACAATGCCGCAAGCAGCAGGCAACAGCAGTCTGCAGCAGCCGCAGCCTTGCCTGCCGAACAGCGCCTATGGTAGTATAGGCTCTCAGTTCTCTGAATAATGTAACCAAAGGGCTGCTTACAGTATAGTGTGCAAGCTTCAGTAGGCGGAGGAGTGATCTTGGATATGATTATGGATACTCCCAAATGGATGAATTTCTATTTCAGCCTTCAATTGTTATCTAGCATTTGAATCTCTGAAGTAATTATTTCCTGTTCTAACTGCAGGTATTGGCTGTACGCTGCTGTTATATACCGGTCATTGCTTGTTACAAATGATGAGATGCGGGACCACTTGTTTCAACTACTTGGCACTAGTTTTTTTCCAAGATGGAAGGAGAACCATCAGGTTTGTCTCTCATTGCAGAAGTGAACCACACAAATCTGTGTTCTTTTGTAGAATGCTGCACAGTACAACCCATTGAGTAAGAGATATTTCAAGTTCTTTTGCACGGCAGCGTATCCTGTGCACCCGCTCACCTTGGTGCACTCATGCACTCACGCGACATGGGACCTTCGATCTCCATCGGACGGATATAAGATGAGAGAGTCTTCTTTTTACAAAATAACCCTTCGATTCATCTTCTTGTCTCCCGTTCAACCACTTTCCCCAAATCTATCCCCTCTGTGAGGCGTCCATGGCAGCTTTGAATCTCGAAAAATAAAACAATGCTCGACGGAGATGGCCGCTAGAAATTAAGATTAATCAAGATTCCAGCATGCAGCCGTCAAATCCTTGCTCAACGATATGTATGATCTCAACCTCAGGATCTTTGGGTTGATTGCATGATATATATGGCATGCCAAAATTTCGAATCAAACAAGAAATTCCGATCGGATATGCCTTTGATGCACACATCTGCAACCCCCGGGCAAAGACTCATCCATTCCATCCCATGGGCAAGAACTCTTCTCTCTACAGAGTCAGGTACACTGCGCCGCAGCTGCTCCATCGGCCGAACACCATGGCCGTCGCCCTGGACACGCTCGCCCGCGCATCGTCCCTCTCCAACAAGCTGGACAACCACACGCACCTTGAGGCGTGACATGCCACTGGCCGCGCCGCCGCGCTCTGGATGTGCTATCTCTGTCGCCAAACATGGCTTAATTTGAGCCGCCATTGACGTCGGATAGAGATTTTGAGGAATACATCTTGGAAAGGACCCAACACAGGAAGACAAAAGGAATCAAGGGTCTATTTACAAATTTACCTGTGTATGTGCGGGTGGTTTTATGAAAAAACGTCCCTTTGCATTACATCCGTCCGATGGAGATTGAAGGTTCCATGTCGCGTGAGTGCACGAATGCACCAAGGTGAGCGGGTGCACAGGATACGTTGCCCTTTTGCACTCCATTTTAACGAGGTGTTGCCTTGGTGAAGCTTGCTTGAGGCCCTAAGTTCTGAGTAGCTCTTACATATTTTTTTTCTGGAGCGTAAAAATAATATTTTGAGTGAATTTTGCTCTTTTTTATGTAAAAAAAATGGACACAATAATCCTGGGAAACTATGTGCAGGTCAGGTTAACATTCTCGGGCCGTGGTTGGAATTTTCACCTGCCGCCTCCTTATTCAATTGTCATTCAGGTGATTACTCTAAACTGTAGTAAAGTTGTGGAGTGCCAGGAATGCATGAACTATACAGAATGGCCTGAGGAACGTGGTTTGATGCAGGAATCTGAAGATGGAAGCTGGCATGTACCAACAACAAATGGTGATGATATTGAGAAACCACGGCAGTGGATTTGTGCTACTAGGAAAATTTCAGGGAAATCGTCTCAAGCACTTGCAAGGGCAGTTGGGTAAGTGCGATGGGTTGCATCTCCATTGACGGGATTGGTGCATGGGAATGGCAGCCAAATTTCGGGCCAGGTATCTGCGCTGCTCCTTTGTTGAATTGGAGGCGGCTTGAAGAGAATCACACCATTATGTAAGGCGGCCGGCAGATGTTGATGGAATTGAGGGCTAGCTGCTGAGCTGACCCAAACGATGGCTGTCAAGTTGTAGGAAGCAAAGTAAAAGATTTCTGTAGCACATGAAAAAGTTTGCCACTCTCTTAAAATGTGGATGTCATGGTTGTTTTAGCTGGCCATTGGTTGTACATGTACATGTATTTTCCTCAAGGTTAAAATCTGAAACAGCGAGGACTAGTCAAACAAGAGGTCGTGTAACTGAAATTATTATTACTAGTAGGAGTAAAGTTGAAATTGATGGAGAGAATATAATACTCTAGTGTACATATGGTTGGTCCGTCCGTTATCCTTGTGGGTGGAGAGTAGCGAATGGGAGCAGGCCGCGTGGAGGCATGGAGCCCCCAGGCAAGGCGCGTCGCCCTTCCAGCCACAACATCCACTGTCTCTCTCTCTCTCTCTCTCTCGCTGCTCTTCATCCGATTCAACTCGGACCACCAGATTTCTTCCTTCCTTCCTTGCAGAATCTTTCATTGTTCTTGTTGGGAGGAAGGAGACGAGGCGCGCGAGGCGGCGAGAGGGAGGAGGCATTCTAGCATATACAGATACAGAGCCAGGGGAGGTATGGAGGAGGGCCTTGCACGAGCACGACGATGCCAATAGAAGCTGTGGCGGTCGCTTCTTTACCGATGGCGTCGCGCAGCGCCGCCCTGTGCTTCTCCTCCGCCGCCGCTGCCCGGAGCCGGAGCAGGAGCCGGCACGGCAGGATGGCCGTCAGCTGCGACGCCGGGGCCTCAGATCTGCTCTATTCCTCTCTGGTACTACGTTGTACTCCATCCGTTTCAAAATGTTTGACACATTTAACTTTTTAGCACGTGTTTGACCATTCGTTTTATTTAAAAAAAATTAATTAATTATTTATTCTTTTCATATCATTTGATTCATTGTTAAGTACACGTATAGTTTTACATATTTCACAATTTTTTTTAATAAGACGAACGGTGTTAAAAAGTCAACGGTGTCAAACATTTTAAAACGGATGGAGTCCTAGTATATTATCTCTGTCTCAATAATTAGGATACTAATTAATTCATGTGTCGCTGATAACCTTCTGAATGAATGTTATTGTTATGAGGCAAGGCTGCCAAGCTGCTTGGCCCTCCCACCAGCTTCGATGCCGGCAAGCTGACGGTAGAGTTCGCCCACAGCCACGGGAACAGCAGCTCCGGGTTCCCCAGAGCTTACACCCTCACCCACTGCGACTTCACCGCTAACCTCACCCTCGCCGTCTCCGACACCATCGCCGCCGACCGCCGCCTCAGGGCGGACGACGTCTTCGCCGAGTGGAAGCAGCAGCAACAGCAGGAGGGCATGGCCCTGCACGTGCACTGCTTCGTCAGCGGCGCCAACCTCCTGCATGGCCTCGCCGCCGGCTTCAGGTACTACGTCTTCTCCAAGGAGCTGCCGCTGGTAAGCAATTATATATCGATATTTTGTACTACTATTACAGTAGTAGTAGTAGTAGTAGCAATTAGGAAGGTGAAATCAACTATGATAAGCTGAATGCAGGTTCTCAAGGCAGTTGTTCATGGCGACGCATTGCTGTTCGCGGAGCAGCCGGAGCTGCTGGAGGCGAAGGTGTGGGTGCACTTCCACTCCAGCTCCAACGCTAAGTACAACAGGCTCGAGTGCTGGGGTCCTCTCAGGGAGGCTGCAAACGCCGAGGCATGCCTTCCTTCTCTCTTCCCGAATTGCAAATTGCAAATGCAAATACCTGCTAGCTGAACTCAATGCAAATTCCAAATGCTTTGCGTTTGCAGACGACGCACAAGAGGCATGCGCTGGAGCAACTGCACAACGCAATCACCAAAGGCACAAGAAGGCGTAGGAGGAAGTGGTCTAGCCCGGACGCCATCTTCAGCGCCCTGCTCGCCCTTCTCCTTTGATGCATATCGGGAACCCCACACATTGTCTTTTTTTTGCTCTGCCTTGTGCGCATCAATTCCAATTCTTTCATCCACCGGACACTTGACATGTATGTATAGTATGTACCCACTCCACGATCAACAAAATGAGAAACGATTGCCTTTCCAAGCATTCCTCCTTAAATTAACTCTGCTTCTGCTTGCTCACTCAAATCATGTTTGGATAACATATGCCACATCATGTATAAATAGTTCCTCTACGTTCTTCATTCAGAACTGGGGACAACATATAGCTCCAAGTGCCATGTGCTCTACATACTACATACTACTACCTCCTCTGATTGAATAACTAAAGGGGATTCATACATACTGAGGTAGTAACTACCTTTGATCGATTCCAAGGTAGTAACTAAAAGGGATTCATTCATACTACTAGCTCAAGTGCCATACGCTCTACATACTACTAGCTCCTCTGATTGAATAACTGGAAGGGATTCATACATACAAAGGTACTCGTAACTACCTTTGTTACGCTACGCTACAAGGGTAGAAGACAGAAGCGGCAGGCTCAATCTATCCATGTCGCATCTCTGCCTCATCCTCTCCACCATTTCACCAAACTTGGCTATCAACTCACCCTCATCAGCCAGCTCCATCCTCTTGATCCTTTCCAGCATTTCATCAAACTTTGCCATGTGTTCCTCATGCAGATCGTCGATCTGCATCCTTATCTTCTCCAGATGGCTTCTCTCCCACCTGTTTTCATGGAGCATTCCAATGAGCTCGGCTGCATACTCCTCCTCCAAAGCAACAATCCGTCCCATTGTATCTCCCAAACCATCCATCTTCTTGCTCATCTCCTTCACTTGATCGATCAAGCTCTTTTTCTCGACATCTCTACAAATGTGCTCCCAAGGAGCATAGCAGCGCCTCACCATAATGTCTCTCACCTTCCTGCGCATAAATAACATGTTCAAAAACATGCCAGAACCCAGAAGGAAGTCCAGGGACAGTCGTACCTCGTGAAAGCAAAACGAAAAAAAATTGTAGGGCATAAAACAATGCAGGAAGAAGAAACTATACAATCGATTCTACACACAGCAAGCTATAACAGGATCTCTGAAAAACAAAACTATAAGTGGGATCACTGAAAAATGAGTAAGAAATGACAGACCTGTTTATTGCACCGTCGTCACCCAAAGTTGCAGTGGTCTCAGTTTTACAGAACAGGACGCCATGACGGTTCACGCCAGCTATACCTTGTTGTTCCAAGAACTGGATGTGCTTCTTCAAGGACTCATCCCTGAGATATATGTGCAAAGCATGGAATATAAAAAAGTTGTACCCATACACAAACAGACAATTATCAAAAGTTACTTAAATTTATTTTTAAACTAGCACTTCGGTTTGGAGGAAGGCCAGGGCAACAAAACGAGGGTTCTGACATCGGTATCCCCAGAATAAATCCATTGAAAAATCTATACACTTTGCCACTTTGGTGTGCAGTTTTTGACTGATCGATACCAGAGTATGAATATGTTTCTTCTGAAACTTGAACCTTTTGGCATTCAACCTATCAAATGATGGAAACTATGTTCACGTGTATCCCAAAAAAATTACAAATTGGCAGGTGTGAAAAAAAATAATACTAAGAAATACCTCCAGCTCTTGAGGACCATAAAGAAACTGTAATTTAGTACGGATGAGAAACTACCAGTAATAAAAGACTGAGTACAATTTCGATGGTATTGAATATAACAAAGAACCGGAGCAGACTTCTTACATGACAAGCTGCTGACCATTCTCCACTTGCATTTTGTGTTGGGTGAGAGAGGCGTCAAACCCATGTGGCGGCAAACTAGAGTACTCTTGTTCATTCTGAAGGTAAAGCTGTATGGAAAGGAAAGAACCAATGAACCATAACTTCCAATACGATATTGTGATATAGTGTAGAGTACGTCACAGTCTGAATTGCAGTTGTGATTGACAAGAAAAGGTATGGCATACATCCTGGTTATAAAATTGCGGTTGTTCTTTGCATTCTGTAGCTGTCCTAAAAAGACCTCCCTTGAAGATCTGAAACAGCAAAAAAAGGGAAATTGCACCTGTAAATTAACATGGAAATTGCACCTGTAAATTAACATTTGTTATCCATACAATAACTTGCTGCATTCTTGTACCGATCAACATACAAAAGAAAAAGGTCAGGTTTTCCAAGAGATGGAAGATGAAGATGATTGAGCTCAGACTGTTCTAGTTGTTTCTGTTTCATATAAGCCCTTATATAAGTATGATTTACATTTAACAGTTTAAATACCTGTTGCTTGTAAATCTTCTCCTCAATGGTCCCACAAGTTACCAAACGATATACAATCACATCTTTAGTCTGCCCAATTCGATAAGCACGGTCGACACTTTGGTTATCTATGCTATAAAGTAAAAAACATATATGATTAATTGAAGAAAGTTGATGTAAAGCATTCACAATTTAGAATTGCTGGGTACCTTGGATTCCAAGCAGGATCAACTACTATAACCCGATCTGCCTTGGTGAGTGTATTGCCAAGTCCACCAACATGTGAGGTCAACAACAATATTGGACTGTCAAGCCCCTCTTGAAAGTCCTAGAGGGTGCAATGCAATGTTATGGAATCCATGGCTTAACATAACAGACAGAAAAATGTGAAAAAAATAAGGAGGTACCTTCAGAATCTTCTTCCTCTCAGATATCTTGGTGGTACCATCAATACGCAGGAACTTATGGCCCTCGATAGATACAGCATCCTGCTTTGTTGGAATGATTATGACAACTATCCGAAGATTAAACAGACATTTCAACAATGCAATGCTTGCTATTAAACTTTATATAGATTAGTAAACAACTAAAGGCATTTTAATTCTATACTGAAAGCATATATGATACAAGACACAGGTAATCATGGACACACGTATGGCATGATTACTGACAGCAATTAACTACCGATATGATTCTTCCAGTAACAAAGCATAGTTTTCAAATGGGAAACTTTTACAAATTGAATCAAATAAAGTGTTAGCAATATCACAAGCACATCACATGCATGATAAAGCAAATAAAGGTTAATATAAGAATAGGCTATACCTGAATAAGGTTAAGCATTACACGTGTCTGTGAAAATATCAAAACATAGTGGCCCTCTTCAACAAGGTTCCTCTGCAACATAAAAAAATGTAGCATGATTTTTCATAGGAAGTGGCACATTAATCCCTTTATATCAGAAACATATTGTATTTTTCTTCTGCAGAACATCCAACGTAGCCTTTTGACTTGCTAACTTTTACCAAAATACAGGAATAATCTATACAAGTGTTACGTTATGATATATCCAAATAAAGTACACATCTATATAATTTTTCTTTTAGCCAGTCTAGATATAAGTAAATATTGCAGGGAGAAGAATTTAATAAGTTTAATTGCTCCATATACTAAGCACATTTTGTCCATGGACTGGAGGGACTATAAAATGGACATTTCATAAAAGAAGCACTGACCAGTAAGGGAAGGATAAAAGCTATCTTGCAGGAGGCGCCTTGGACAATCTGTAGTCTTTTGTCAGCATAAAGGTTATCTTCAAGAATCCTTTCCACCATGCACATATCTCGGTTATTCAGCATGGCACCCATTTCTTCCAGGAAATCATCAGTATCTCTTTTAGTCAAAAGTAGAGGGTGATCGCATATTTTCCTCAAAATCTGTTTGTGTTGAATTAAAACAAGTGAGCACACACATGCATGCACGATGCACCATTACATATTTTCTTCAAAAATCTACCAACAGTAAATGGAACATGGCATACTAGAAATTTCAATTCACTCCAAGGAGTGACATCTTAATGTCAACGGAAGCAGACGGTAGGTAAAATGATGAAAGTAAAAACAGTCAGTACATAAATACCGTGCTAGCTTCCAAGGATGAACCCTTCAATGCTCCAGTTTGTGAACGAACTGGATCTTTATTCAGGAAGGCTTCATACAATCGCCTCTGCACCCGAAACAAAATCATCAATAATCTATAAAGCATAGACACATAACCCTTTTATACTCCCAACACCTTCATTATACAAAACCTAGAGCAATCGTATACTGGTGGAATACCAGAGTCAAATGCCCAAGGAGTTCTATAAATGGAATAGAGGTTTGCAGCAGAACAGCAAGGCACTTGCCTGGCAAGATGTCAATTTTAACCAGATAACCAATTCATTCTTCTGAGGTGGCCTTTTGTCATCTTTCGCGCCAGTATCTACAAATATTTCACTTTTCATACGACGGAGAAAGTGTGGTTTAATCCGCTCTCTTAATTCCTGTGATTAATAGCGTTCAGAACAGACCAAAACAAATGATGCAACAAGATTAGTACATCAGGCACAAACTTATTATGTCGAAAGAGAACATACTTTTGCTGCATTTGAAGCCATTTGCTTCTCTTGATCAGTAGCATTCTTGTCATTTCCACAAAGAATTGGCTTCTCGTACCTAAGTTCGAACCTGCAGTAACCAAGAGAATCTCACAACACTTGACTTTACAAAATAAATATTCATAAGTATAGATTGATTTTGCATAAGTATTGTATAAGAAACAAGGGGGAGTTAAGTGATTTACGCATCCTCATCACCCAGGACATCTGGGCAACAGAAATAAAACAAAGCCCACATTTCCTGCCAGAATAGTGATGCTCAGTGGAAGTAAAAGAAGATAAATAGAAAGGTTAGAGGAAAAGTCATTTGAGATGAGGGTACCTTTAATTTATTTTGAATAGGTGTTCCAGTGAGTACAATGCGATGAGCAGAAGGTATTTGAAACAAGCTCTGTGCCCTTTGCGTCTTTGTATTCTTGACAATGTGGCCCTCGTCAAGAATAACATAGTCCCACAGTGGTTCTTCTTCGTTGTTGTCAACATTGTTACCGTTGCCATTGCCTCTTAGTAACATGTAATTATTCCGGACGATGTGGTAGGATGTTAGTAGAATGCCACCCTCCTGGTGAAAGATTCAACTTGCAAGTAGTGTACAAGTATGGAATGGGTTGATGGAAAGATGAATTGAGGATGAAGTGTAAAGTTAAGATGAGACCTTGAAGGTGCAGTTAAGTTGATAGCAGCGATCGTTTAGGCTAGGGCCAGAGTAGCTGGCGGAATGCAGATTAATTAGAGAAGAAGTAAAGCAGTGATTGATGTGTGGATGTAAGTAAAGATGTGGCTTCTTACAGTCTGATGTGGTGTTGAAGGCCGAGGAGTGAGAGGTGATTTACCCAGTGAGTCAAGTCAGTCTTAGGGGCGACAATTAAGGCTCTCTTGATCAAATTGGAATGGAATAAGCCGGCCAGCAAAGCAGAAACCTGGATTTGGACCCGGCCTTGCCCTTGTGAGACCATACATTGATTGATGTACTCCAGTGGATTAGGGATGGGAGGAGGTGGAGGAGAGGAGAAAAGAAGAGAAGAGTACCTGGATGGTCTTGCCGAGTCCCATGTCATCGGCGAGGATCCCTCCGGTGGCGGTGCAGTGCAGCGCCCAGAGCCAGGCGAGGCCGTCGCGCTGGTGCGGGTAGAGCGACCCCAATACGCGGCGGGGGATCTTCATCTTCATCTTGATGGCGCCGACGCCGGCTTCCACCACCATGTTGACTAGCTCCTCATCCTCATCTACCTCCACCTCCACCTCCTGTTGAGGTTGAGGTTGGGAAGTCGGGGCCATTGGAACGAATCGGCCGTTGGCGGCGGCGGCGGCGAGGGCTCCGCGGCCGGTGGTGAAAGTGGAAGGAACTTTAAAGACAACAAGGGTACTACTAGTTGAGTTTAAACGGAACGGAGTTGAGTTTAATTCAGATCCCTTCCTGCCTTCACCCCGCGCCCGCCCGCCCGCCTCTTCTTCCTTCGCTTTCAAACTTTCCCAATCCTTTAAAGTTCGGGCCTGTTCACTTTAACAAATATACTAAAATTTTAGCAGCAAACTAAATGTAGCTAATTTTTTAACAACTTTACTAAAATTTGGTAAAGTTTTAAATAGCATTAAAGTGAACAGGCCCTTCCTTCCAACTACCATTGGATTTTAGGAGGGGTTGTTTGGTTGAAGTTTGAACTACTGTTGCTTTTCATTCCTCAACTATTATACTATAATAACAAATCAAATTATCATCATTTTCTTAAAACCACGCATACAGTAGTTTTCATTTACCGGCTACGATATTATAGGTGTTTTTAAGAATTATCATGCCTTTGTAAATATAAGGGGCAAAAACCAAACCAAAGCAACAATACAAGGATAAAACCCCTCTCTTTCTTTCCCCCCTTTTGCCAATGACCAAAAGCAGGCTGACTTCAGCTAATACCAGCGTAATTTACTGGTACTACTAGCACTGTTTAATTTACAAAGCCAGAGCCTTCACAACCAAAACAATAGGACACTCCAAACCATATAATAGTATGTACTATGACTACTGTTTTTTTTTTTGCAAAAACTTCCTATAGAAAAGTTACTTTAAAAAATCATATTAATCCATTTTTTGAGTTCAAATTAGTTAATACTCCAATTAATTATATACTACTTCCGCCCCTAAATATAAGGGATTTTGATATGATGCAACACATCTTTATACAATGAATTTGGACAGCACTAGAATATATCACATCTCACCAAAATCCTTTATATTTAAGGACGGAGGGAGTAATAACTAACATCCTTTTGGTCAATATTCTCTTTTTCTCCTCTCAGACACAAGCCTAAGAGGCACCCGAGATCAGCATGTGTTCCGTTCCGTGGTCGTCACAATTAGTACAAGTAGCATGCAAAATGTCACGCCTTAGTGACTACTAGCATGCAAGCATGGAATTTAAGCAAAAGAAACAGACATGCCCTACACTAGACAGACAGATCATCCAAGCAGATTACTTCCGTTGGACCCTTCCTCTCCAATGGCTCCGGAGAAGACTCGATCACGGTCAGCTTTTCGTCCAGCTCATTTATCTGCCTCCTTATCTTGTCTCCACGATCTGGTAGCTTCGCCACAAGCACCTACAACAGCGGCAAATGGTGTAAGACAGACAGACAACACACCACAAGATGCATGCAACAGGTTCGGGTGTCTTTCTTGCTCCCACCGTGTTTGCAAGGGTTTGCGAAAGCCGGTTGATTTTGGCCTTGATTTCCTCAGGACTTTCTGTGCTTGTGCTGTTCGGGGAGTATGTTCGAGCAATGAACTCTTTTGGCTTCATCGCATAGGCAGCACTACACAAAACAAGCAGCACGGTACACAACTTAATTATGCAGCCCAAAAGCCATTGATTAAGTCCCATGAACTCCTCTTACCCATTGGCAACATAGTCAGATGAGGCTCCCTTGTAGTAGTGCTTGGCCATTGGCATAGCTCGACGACTGCTGCACACAGAAACAGCATACATCACCTGTTAGACACCAAAGGTAACAGCAACAAATGGATACGTGTTGCAACGTGCCAGATCAATATTTCTCTGAAAGCAAAACAAACATATGCTGCACTTTGAAGACAGTAAAATTAACCTGTCCAAACCATCATTATCATTCAGTGTAGGTAAGATTGCTGTCTTAGAAAACAGAAGGCTGTGATGGCTCACGCCCGCTATGCCTTGTTGCTCCAGGAATTGTATATGCTTCCTCAAGGAGTCGTCCCTGGTACATGCCGCAGATCAACAAACTTATCATCAGTGAACATGGAAATCATTACCAACAAGCCAGCAAGTATTGCTCAGGGATTGAGCAGCTCTTACTCCAGCAAATGCATTTGAGAAATACTACTTCCTCCGTTTCACAATGCAAGTCATTCTAGCATTTCCTATATGAATGTGGGAAATGCTAGAATGACTTATATTGTGAAACGGAGGGAGTACTACTTTTTTATGCAGCAGTTCATCATCATATGCTTTCTACATATGGCAGTAACCATGAAATATTGCAGAGCAACCTAAACATTTTGCCGCACATTTTCTGCTGATATCACAACCATTTCCCCTTGTTTTTTTGTGAAAATGTAGTAGCATAAGCAGCAGTCACCTCATGGAAAACATAATAGTGGTGCTAGAATTAACCGACTAAAAGTAGATGTCCTACATCACAAGTTGTTGTCCATGCTCTTCTTGCAATTGCTTTTGTGTCAGCGAAACATCAAAACCTTGCTCAGGCAGACTGAAAAGCTCTTGAATATCCTGAATGTACACACAAAATAGCCATATTATAAATTATCCAATATGACAGAGAAAACAATAACAAGAACCGTATCACACTAAGTACCCTCTTGCTGAAATAACGAGTTTGTTCTTTGTGCTCTGTAGCTGTCCTAAACAGAGCCCCCTTGAAGACCTGGAAAAGGGGCATGTATTATCTCATTAGTTAGAATCTAGCTTTTATTTTACTGAAGTAAATATGCAATATGCAAATAAAGGAATAGGGGTATAACACTGACGGAGACATTGCAGGAAAAACATGTAATGGCACAACCCAGTAAAAAGTGTCACCAGTCCCACCTTTTCTTTTCTTACATGAACCCAGCCCCACATTAAACTCTCAAATTTCAAATTAGGAAGAGAAGTTAACTTCAATGAAAAACCGTACTTTATTTCACCCCCTAGAAAGTACAAGTTAATAGTTTGGTGCTACATAGAGAATCTCAAGGAGGCATACAACTAAATATGACCATGGACTCATCTTTTCAATATTTTTTTTTTGAGATATCATATTTTGAATCAGTTGCTTCAGTGAATAACAAGCGCGATAAAAGGCATAAACAGCAAGTAAATTCTTGACCATATTTAAACCTGCAATTTGTATATCTTTTCTTCGATGGTTCCAGATGTCATAAGGCGGTATACGATGACATCTTTCATCTGCCCAATTCGATAAGCACGATCAACACTTTGATTGTCCGTACTGAAGATGGGAAACAGGAGCATTAGTAAACATACAGAGACAAACATTCAGTAAAATAAAAAGGCAATAAACTCAGTAAGGAAACGGCGTTGTTCAGGTACCTTGGATTCCAAGCAGGATCAACTACTATGACACGAGCTGCCTTGGTGAGTGTAAGTCCAAGCCCACCAACTTGTGTGGTCAGCAAAAATATTGGAGCTCCAGGACCCTCTTGGAAGTCCTGATCACAAATGCATTCCATGTAAGCAATATAGCAGTAACAATTTTGCCCATGGCATAAAAGAAGGAAAGGGAAAGACAGAGAAGAACCTTCACAATCCTTTCCCTCTCAGAAATCTTGGTGGTACCATCAATGCGCAAAAACTTATAGCCTTCTAATATTATAGCCTCCTGTTGCAGTAATAAGCTACATTAGCTACTAGGTTGAAGTAGTAACCCAGAATGCATATCTTACTACTCCTTACTACTTTTTAAAAGCAGGAATTTGGGGGGGAGGGCAGGTAACGGTAGGTTTTACACCCATCTCTACACCAGAACTTTTGTGGCTGTAAATATATAGGCACGTGTGCATTATTTGTAAGATTTTTACATAAAAATATTATATATTTGCATGAGTATATGTAGGTGGTAATTGGTCTCATATAATCGTGTTTATAAGTTCTAAATTTGAGTACAATCAATGTTAATTATTAGATTTACATTATATTTAGTTAGGATCCTTTCCACGCACGGGCATGATGATAGTAATCGTAAACATTACAAGAATGATAAAAATGGTCAAAGGAGTAGGAAATGAACATTGAAAAACACACTATGGTCAGATAGGCTACATCAGGGATTCAGGGGTGTACTAATTAAAAGCCTGCTCGAGGTCAAGTTCATTCTGTTAGGTAATTTGTTTTCAACTTCTCACAAATGAGTGTACGGCAACCACTAAAGGAAAAGAACTCCAGTCTGATACAATGTTTTTTCTATCATTCAACGAGCAAATATGTTCTGGAATAGTTTTAGGGAGAAGTGTAGAGCAAACAAAAAAATATTCAATTTAAAAAAAAACACACATTGATGATAATTGAAAATAAGATTGCTAGATTCTGAATTTCAAGATGTAAAAATCTTAACAGAAGTTAACAAAAAAAAAGTCCCATAGAAATCATATTTTCATGAAACTATATGTAATCACTCAATTCAAAAAATATATCACTACTAGTACTGCATGAGGATAAACCAAAAAAGTTGATTCTACTTTCTACCGAGGCACTGAGGGGACTGTCAATAGTATATGTGATTGGATGACTATACATTGACAGGAAGAAATCAGGCCTTATCAAGGGCTCAGAACAATTACTTTGCTAGGATAACAAATAACAATATACCAAAATCACAAGAAAATCACAGAACTGTATGACTATAAAGCAAACAAAGATTAACATAACAAGAATAGACTTTATCACCTGAATAATGTTTAGCATTTTACGAGTTTGCGAGAAGATTAAGACGTTGTGTCCCTCGCTAACAAGATTTTGCTGCAACATTAAGATTTACCATTTGTTAGATAAACAAATACATAGGTGACAACTAAAATGTGGATCATCAAAGAACACTTACGAGCAAGGACATCATAAAAGATAACTTGCACGAGACATCCTGACCAACTTGCAATTCAACGTCATCATCATCATGAGCCATATCTGCAAGGTTCATGGCCATTTTCTCAACCATTCCCATTTCTTGATTATTTAACATCGCATCCATGCCTTCCAAAACACCCTCAGCAGCTTTCTTAGTCAACAACAGCGGATGATCACATATTTTCTTCAATATCTGTTTAAGAATACAAGAAACAGAAACAAACATAAGTGCACCAATGAGTGTACATAAATCCTTTTTCTGATAAATTGAGGATATCAAACAACATGACAATGTGCATCACAAGAACAACAAGAGAAAGCAATGCACTCTCGCATGAAATATGACATATGATAAGGAAATGGAAAGAACATAAAGGTCTAAACAATGCTGACAACATATAAAAGCAAACAAAATCAGCACAGATAAAAACTTTGAAGGTGATGCTTACCGTGATTGCGGCCAAGGGTGACCCTTGCATTGATGAATGAACTAGTTCACTGTTAAGAAAAGCTTCATATAATTGCCTCTGCATCCAAAAAATAAAAAAGGACTAATATTAAGATGGCAGTTAACCAATAACAAAACCAGAGTTTTGCATCAGTGGAAAATGATCTGTACCTGGCAAGATGTTAATTTCAGCCAGATAATTAGCTCATTCTTCTTAGCAAGCTTTTTATCTTCTCCCGTGCCGCTATCAAGAAACACTTCATTCTTCATGCGTCGCAAAAAGTATGGCTTTATCCGTTCTCTTAATTCCTGTAATAAATGATCATGTACAAAACCAAAAACCACATATTATATAAAAAGTAGAACAGCAGACCTGAAGAAATAATCTGGAAGAATGGGTGGCAGTTAAAGAAATGCAACAAAGGAGGAGGCTCAATGTAAATAGCTTTCCCTCTCATGGAACCAACTAAAAGCCCATTTTTATTAGTTGGTATGGAAACATAATTCCATTGCTTTACAAGTCAAATTGGAGTACACGACTGTACTACTTTGATGATACATGATTGCAGTACCTATAATAAGAAGTATGTCTGTGTCCAAATTGCTGTCTTCTCAATGAAATAATAATAACAAAAAATAATAATTCCGCAAAAATTGGAATAGAGTAAACACCATAATCATTAATAGTCAAAATGCTAATGTGGTGGAAAATCTGGCTCTCCTAATAATTAAATATCCAGTTCAGACACAAAAGTAACATGAAACAGGATCATCTATCACAACATGAAAAAGGATTAGTACCTTTGCTACATTTGAGCCTATGTGCTTTTGTCGATTGGTAGCATTCTTGTCATTTCCTTGAATGATAGCGTGCTCATACCTTGCTTTGAACCTGCCAAAAACAAGAGAAATAAACAACACTAGATTGTGTAATATGAAGCAACAATGGCAATGCAGAAAAACAACGGGCATAAGTGTATTACTGCTCCTTATCACCCAAGACTTCTGGGCAACAGAAATAAAACAGAGCCCACATTTCCTGCAAGAATAATCAGGATTACTTGCATTGGTTCGTGCGCCAATTATAAGGCATTAAAAATTAAGAGAGTAGGATACCTTCAAGTTATTTTGTATGGGTGTTCCACTGATGACAATACGATGTGCACAGGGTATTTCAAATAGACTTTGAGCCCTCTGAGTCTTTGGATTCTTGATAATATGCCCCTCATCAAGAATAACATAGTTCCATAATGTTTCTTCCTCGTCATCAAAATCATTGGTGAAGTTGCCTTTTATCATCTTGAAATTGTTTCGAACAATGTCATATGTTGTTAAAAGGATTCCACCCTCCTGTAGAAAGACAATAATATGCTAAAACAGCTGGTATTTATTGTGATATCATGGAAGAACCGAATATTCTTCTAAATGATGCTACGAACAAATACAACTCAAATTTTAACTTTTAGGACTTCCAAGTATTACAAAACCCAAACTTGCAACAAGCCAGGTCAAGAATGTGGCTAGTCAAAGACACTTATGTTAGGAGACCAGACCTTGAAGGCATATTTAAGCTCATAGTTGCGAGCATTTGCATTGGGACCAGAGTAGCTGTCAGAAAAGAAAAAGGGAACAATTAGCACGAGATAACATGACCTCTATCAATTTGAGGGAAGATATATGTCAACACAAAATATCCTACTCTCTGATCTTATCTTTGAGGCTCACAACTGAAAGTTCCTTGGTCCAATGAGTCAGAAGCGTCTTTGGAGCTACAACTAACACTCTCTTGATTAAACGGGAATGGAACAATCCAGCCAGGAATGCAGAAACCTGCATGATAAAAAAAGGATGAGAATACACATCAGTCGATTGCACATTTAGAGCGAGACAGAACTCGGCTCTTCATATGCATAATACTCCATGGACACTACCATGTAATTCGTGCAATGAAGGTAATAATAAAACTGACAGTAGTTAGACAACTGGTAGTGACAAAACAGTTCTGTTCTTCTATCGGACGGAGACTGCTTTCGATTTCATCATAAATGCATGATGTGGACAGCACAAAAGATTCAGATGATTAAAAGTCCTGCCCTGATCCTACCATAAAAAACACACAAACTACGCAGAGGCCTCCCCTGATCGTATCATTAATTTGGAAAAGGAAGAGCAGTAATCCTTAATCCTAATACATGGAAGGTGATCACTAACTAGTATCAGTGGCACCACAAGTATTCTGTAAGCATTAAAAGTAGACGAAATTAGAAGGATGAGAGGGTCCCAGTCCCACCTGCATGGTCTTGCCAAGGCCCATGTCATCTCCAAGGATCCCTCCAGTTCCCCTACAATGCAGAACCCAAAGCCACCTGAGACCCTCACGCTGGTGGGGGTAAAGCATGTTGAATATCCTTCCTGGGAGATTGTAGGGCTTGCGCGTTACACCTGTCCCAGTGGGCTCCATCTTGAAGTCCTCTGTCTTCTCCCAACCAACATCATCAGCATGGTTTTCCTTCCCATTCTCTGCATCTTGGTCGATGTCGTCTTCATCGTCATAGTCCCCAAAAAATTTTGAGGCCTTGGATTCGGTTGTGGTTTTCCTTGACACCGTATCAAAGGCATAAGCTCCTTTGGCTTTCATCTTATCATCGTTGCCGCGGCCCCCAAAAGAAGAAGAGGCCTTGAACACCTTCCTGGTGACCTCCTCTTTAACACCAAAACCACCGTAGGCACCTCCCGCATCATCGTCGTCGTCATCACAGTCCACAAAGGATGAAGAGGGTTTGGTCCCATCATTAAGCTGAGACTGAGAGGGGTCGGGGTCGGCATGGAGGGCGCAGGGAAGTGGGGACACGTGGGGTCTGGGCCTTGCGGTGGGCCTGTCGACTGACAGGGAGTCGAGGCGGGTGGTGAGATCGTCCAGTATGTCGCGGATGCTGTCGTCGTCTCCGGCGGACTCATCGCCGGCGGTAGAGAGCTTGCAGAGGCGGCGGCGGCCGGCCAGCTTGACCTTGGCGGGTTCGGGCTCTGCGAGGAATTGAAGTGGATGGAGTTACTAGAAAACGGAACCGAGAGAGAGAGAGAGAAGGGTACCTTGAGGAGGCGGCGGCGGAGGGGGTTTAGGGTTAGGGTTAGGGTTAGGGTTTGGGTTTTGGGAGGGGCCCCGTTGGTGCGTGCGGGTGAGGCGGAGGAGGCGATCGTTGAGGCCGTTGGGTGTCGGAGCGGCGAGCGGCGTCGGCGCAGGAGGGGTGGGGTCGTCGTCCAGGTCGCCGCAGATGTCGAAGGGCGGAGGGGACGCCATCGATCTGCTTCCTTCCGAGTTCTGACGACGACGACGACGACGACGATGGAGGAATGGATTGGAGATTTCTCTCTTATCTTCTCTCGCTTGGGTTGGGTTGGGTGTTGGGTTGGTTCGGGGGAAGAGGGGACTGAGGAAGAAGAACTTCTCCGCGGCCTATGTACCAGAAAGGAGGCGGCGCCGCGGGGTGGTTCAAATTTCGAATTTCATCCGAAATTCACTCCTCGCCTTCTATGCTTCTTCAACACACAGCAACGGATACATTCTAGCATCGTTCGTTCAGGCCTTCAGGGAAGATAGGGGAGTCTGAAACTCGTTTTCTCCGCACACGCTTTTCAAACTATTAAATTGTGTGTTTTTTTCAAAAAAATAAGAAAGTTGCTTTAAAAAATCATATTAATCCATTTTTAAAATTTAAAATATTTAATACTCAATTAATCATGCGCTAATAGCTCACCTCATTTTTTTTTATTTTCTCAATCTTCTCTTTTCATCTCCTCTCAAACACTTTATAGCAGGTACAATAACAAGTTATAAGCCAGCTATAAACATATTTTAAAGAGATAAAAGATGAAAGATAAAAGCATATTTATAGCCAGCTAAAGTACGGACTCTACGATATAATGTGTGTATGACATATAGGATCATGTATTAATAATGACATAATGGAGTAGTAAGTTACTATTATATGAATTGGGTATTAAATTGACTATAGATTATTTGGAGCTAATAGTTGGCTATACTATTAAACTTGCTCTTAAGCTGACAATGCTGTGTTCGATACAGTTCCCAACTTCCCCTCTAGTATTCCACGCACAAGCTTTTCAAACTAAAAGTTTATATACGAAAGTTGCTTAAAAAGATCATATCGATCCTTTTTTTAAAAAATAGCTAATACTTAATTAATCACGTGCTTAAAAATCATATTATCCATTTTTTTTAAAAAAAATAGCTAATACTTAGTTAATCATATTATCTATTTTTTTAAAAAAAAATAGCTAATACTTAGCTAATACTCCGTTTTTCGTGGGCACTGTTCGTGTTGGGAACTGGCTGGTATCGAACACAGCCTTATTGACGGCCACTCCGTTCCGTTCCATCAAAATTTCACAATCATGAAGATGAAGTAAGATTAAGTGTTTCACGCAAAACGAGTAATAATGTGTGATGAATTGAATTTTAATTATTATAAACTTGAAAAATGGATTAATCTGATATTTTAGAGCAACTTTCATATAGAAAGCTTTCGCACGAAACGTACCATTTAGCAGTTTGAATACGTTGCCATGTTGGAGAAACTAAAGCAACCTCAGTTCGATAGGGACTGTATGTATTGTTTAAAGCCTGTTTGTAAAACACATAAATTTATAGGAGTTATATAAATTGTTCGTTTCATTCCATTTGAATTTATTAAAAAAGAACCAGTCTTTAACGGGTTTTTCCAAATCTTGTCCGGATAATTGAATTGATGGTTTAACTTTTGAACCTTCCTGATTATTTTAAATTTCCTTTATTTTACTTTTTTCCCTTTATTCGTCGTTTGAAACCTAGTCTTCTAATACTAATTTACAATGATCTTTCGGTGGTAGATGATGTATTTGTTAAAACATAGTAGACGACGTATCTGTTAAAACATAGTAACTTTACTAATCTCACGATATGATGACATAAATTTTCGGAGTTGCTTATAAGTATACTAGTTATAAAGCGTACTCACGAAGAGTAAGGAAGTAGCCCTCCAGAATTGAGCCTAAGGGCCTATTTATTTTCAGCGACTTGGATGAGATTTTCCACGATATAAAACATCTAATTTTCCACGATACTGGTTATAAAGCATTTTTAACTAATATTTTTAGCAACTTTAATGTTACAATAATGAAAGTCTATATATGTGGAGTCCCATCTATATGGACTGCTTTTGCTATATACATTGTTGCTGCCCATGGAGTAGTTAGGTAAAGTCTTTAGTGGGTACTGTACATCACTGCTCGTCTGCCCAGGGTTTACCAAACCGTTTGGGGTGGGGTTACAGCCCCTTCCGATTTGATGGTTAGGGTATCCTCAATGTTGAGCCACACAACAACCATTAGATGGGACCCACGTACATATATCTTTTTACTTTACAACCAATGCTACAATGTTTAAGATCTTCTATTGACCTTAAGCTGGGACCCACTAAAAATAATCTATATAAATTCTTTTACTAATTCTTTTACTATGAAGAATTAATAGACAAAGTAATTTTATATTTCTTATGGCTAACTTTAAGCTTTAAGATTAGTCATATCAATATCCTCTTACAAACACACATCTCTATGCATAAAGTTGTATTAAGAATATTATTTTATTGCGAAGTGAGCATAGCTCAACTAGTTAGGTTCCTTATGGTGGAACTAGCCCACTCGGGTTCAAATCCTAGATTTGACACGGGTGCTCGCGGCGCCTATGGTGACTTCATCAATCTCAAGATATGCCGGCCCAGTCGGGTAGGGTGTGCGTGTGTGCGTTCATAGGGGTGTGTGTGGGTGTGCGTGTGTGCGTTCATAGGGGTGTGTGTGCGCACGTTGTGAGCGCCTGTGTTTGTACTATATTTCTCAAAAAAAATTATTTTATTGCTTATGGTCACATTTACATGCACATTAGAGATGCCCTTATTATGGTAACCGTGTGGTCATCACGAAAACTGGACGATTATTGCGAGATATTGAAAAGTTATCGCGAGATAAATATAATAACCTTGTGATAACCATGCGGTTTGGTAAACTCTGCGAGTGCCCCCGCGAGGAAGAAAACCACGGGAAAGAGATGCGCCGTTGGATTATCAATCGCTTCACGAGTTCACTGCGCACACTCTCCAAGTTGCAAGTAGTGTGTGTTGACTTCGACACAATCTATCGATGTCGATGCCGATGCCAATACTCCTCCTCCTCCTGCTCCTCCCCCAGGGCCAGGGCCACGGCGGCGCCGGCGACATCTGCATCGTGGGCAGCGGCATCTCCGGATCATCCACCGCCTTCTTCTTCACCAACTACACCACCGCCCTCTCCGGTGCCCAGCTCCGCGTCTTCGAGCGCCGCGCTAAGGTCGGCGGCCGCCTCGCCACCGTCACCGTCTCCGGCGATCACTTCGAGGCTGGCGGCTCCATCATCCACCCACGAAATCTCCATGTGCGCCGCTTCGCCGACCTGCTAGGCCTCGAAGCCAAGACCGATGGCGACGATGACTGGCTCGGGATTTGGGACGGCCACCGCTTCGTCTTCCAGACGCTCCGCCCGCTACCGCCCGGGACGTCCTGGCTCCGCCGCAAGCTGCACACCCTTGTTAACTCGCTGCGCCTCTTTAAGCGCTATGGTCTCTCGCTGCTCAAGATGGACAGATTTGTCCAGGTTCCTCCTCCATAATCTTCTACTACCAGTATTCTTTTCTCACTACTACTAGTAGTTTTTTTTTTTGAGTAAATTTCACTTTGGTCAACCTTTATTTACCAAATTTTCACATTGGACTAGAGTTAGACTTATATTTTCACTTAACACCATATATATAGTTACCATCATTTTCACTTTGGACTGGGTTTCACAAATTACACATAATACAATGATTGTAGATCTGATCTCGTTTCCTTCTTTTTGTGTTAGAAAACTTAGAATTC